ATGATTCCTTAGAAAATGCACTGGAAAAAATGATTCCTTAGAACATGATTCCTTAGAAAATGCACTGGAAAAAATGATTCCTTAGAACAAGATTCCTTAGAAAATGCACTGGAAAAAATGATTCCTTAGAAAATGCGCTGGAAAAAATGATTCCTTAGAAAATGCACTGGAAAAAATGATTCCTTAGAACAAGATTCCTTAGCAAATGCACTGGAAAAAATGATTCCTTAGAACATGATTCCTTAGAAAATGCACTGGAAAAAATGATTCCTTAGAACATGCTAGAATTCTGGCAAAAGGACTATGTACATGCCTATTTAATCTCTTGTGAGGATGTTTTGGTAAGATGCTGTAAATGTGTCCAGAAATGGATGGAATTTGACAAGGAAGCATTAATATCAGAAGGGAGATTAGAAGGCTTCGATATGCCCAACCCAGTGAGTGATGAGACATTACAGAAACAAGTTAATTAAAAAATTTATTCAGTTTCAGGTAGCATAAATATTCAGATTCCCATTCGGATTGACAGCACCAAAAAATCTTAGGTCAGCACCAACAGTCTAATCCAGAAATGCAAAATTCTGCAGCAAGAAAAGTCAAATGCTGTGATCTGTGTACATTTTGTGAACAATACATATTTGCATTTGCCCCCATATTTTGCACAAACTGTTCTGATTTTACTAGTTAGGACGGGTGGAACTGTGGAAGCCCCATCATAAACAGTGGAGATATTTTTCAGCAGTTCCTCTGATATCTAAGTATCTGACAGGTACGATCCACATATATTTAAGGGCTCAGTCCTACCCATTTGACAGAGAAAGGTATACATCTCCCTACCTGGGGCATGCTGGGAGTTGCAGGCCTTTTTTCCAATGAAACATGCATATGTATGCACCTTACATGTTTCTTTACAGCAACGAGGACTAGAAACTTGCTCTGTTTAATGAAAGCTGAGATTCTCAAAAATCTGTCTTCAGTGCTCAATACTACATGTATTTCTATCCTGCTGTGGAATTGCAGAACATAAAATCCCCCAATATTAGTATTCTGTGCAGTTTCTAAATTTGCAAGACACTTTCCAGTTGCCCTGAATAGCTAGTAAGATACAAAAAAGCAAAGAGGGGGGAAATCATAGGTTAATTAATGCTACTACGGCTCTGGAAACTAACATGGTAGTACCTTATGTTTAAATGCAAACAACGTACTTTTGGTATAATCAGCCATTGAAGTAACACTGAGAGCAGAACACTCTTTATACTTGACAGTAAAGCATAAAATAAGGACGCTGAAATGAGATTGCTCATTTGAAAACGACATATACGAAGGCTCTTAAGGGCACCCTAAGGCTTCTTGCCACCTCACACGCGTTTGTGAAAAGCTAGAGATCTATTTGAAGCAGTTTAGGTCTACATACTAGCAAAGGTGCCTCCCATACATTCCAACTGCTAGGATCAGTTGCAGAATTTATCTCCACGGGGATTCGTGAATTCTCCCATGAGCACAGTTGGCACGAATGGTAAATTCTGCTGCAAGAGGCCCTGGTGAAACAGCAGGGAACTGGGCAAGATCGGAGAAAGGCGGAACAAATTTTGCCAGGTGCAATCCACTGGGGAATCCTGCTCCACTCCCATGGAAATATTCCTGGGCTCCTGCAAGAGCTGGAGGATGGTGCTCCGAGTCCTTGTTCAGCAGTGGAGATTGAAGTGAAAAGAGCCACGATTCTCTCTCAGGGTCGAGAAAGATCTTCATTGCTGATTCCAGAGGTTCATGTTGCAGGCAACCGTCCAACATCTTCTCAGAGGAAGCCGTGGCTGTCCCTTGGATGAATTCTCCCCCGGAAATATTCAGATGTCGGGGAGAAAGAATTGTCCCCCGTTCCTGAAGAAGCCTCTTTCCTCCACTCCGCTTAGCTGGAATACCCGCCTGGAGAGCACGGTGTGGGTCACATCAGCACACGGAAAACAGTTCGAGACACCTCATCCACCCAAGTTGGACTTGGCGTGGTCCACTTTGGTATCTCACTGGCTGAAGAAGTGTATGCTCGGAGCAAACTGGCATCGTTCTTCTATTCACTGGGCACTGCCCTGAGGCAGGAGGTGCAGCACTTTCTGCCTTCAAAACCTGCATCGCACGTTTCAGACCCGATCCTCACAAATTTGAATTGATGCAAGATTTGCAACACCGCATCCCGTAGAAACTGTGATTGCAAACCCCGTGCTGTGGGACCAAGTGGCACCAGCTGAAGTAATCCAGACAGAAAGCCTCTGAAAGAATAAATGGGAAGAAATGTTCAGGCGATATTGCACTTAGAGCACTGTTAATTTAGATGCTAATGTTATTGATATATTTTGAAGAATATGTATTTGTATTTCAATTGTATTTATGTTTTGTTTAAAAAATAAAAAAGGGGGAAAAGAGGGGTATATATTACTTTGAGCCGCTTGGCTACTGTGGGATCCCAGCATGGCTCTTTATGTATTTTTATTTATTTTCAAATTTATATGCCACTGAAGAGTCCAACAGGGCTCTCTAAATGTTAAACATCATTAAAATACATTAATCACAATTAACTAATTAATACAATTACAAGTATGGGGGAGGGGGGAAATCTTCTGAAGCAGAGTTCACTCTTACAATCAGGTGTTAAAAATCTGGTCCCAAAATGTCTGCGAGAGAAGACCGTTTTCACCTGGTGCTGAAATGAAAGCAGTGCTGGCGCCAGGCGGGCCTCTTTAGGAAGTCCCTTTCAAAGTTGAGGGGCAGCCACTGAGAAGGCCCTGAACTTATGTTATGCAGTTTTATGCACTGACGTTCTCCCAGCAATGTAATTTTAGGTGCAAGGGCAAATGAGCCCTTCAAATTATGGGATGGAGGAAAAGGAATGTGAGGGCTGATTCTTTTGACAGGATCCTCCAGCTCTTTTGCCCAGGAGCTGCTGATTATTAATTAATTAATTTATTTAAAACTTTTGTATACTGTTCCATCACAGGCATCTCGGGATGGTTCACAATTACAACAATAAAATAAAATAAAAATTAAAGTCAAGGTAGTACACCATCCAATATTAAATGTAAAACCACGGATTAAGATAAATTAGCAATTCAGTTGGTGGGAGAATAAAACGGTTTTTGCCCGGTGCCAAAAGGAAAGAAGCGATGGTGCCAGGCGAACTTCTCTGGGGAGCGTGTTCCACAGTCGGGGCGGCACCACCGAGAAGGCCCCCCTCTGGGTAGTCACCCTCCCGATCTCCTTCAAGGAGGACTCCCAAAGCAGGACCTCCGGCTCAGATCTCAAGGGGCGGGGGGGGGCACACAGGGAAGGAGGCGCTCCTTCCGGGTTGGCCTTGCTCCCAGCAACACAGCAATTAAGGCCAGAACTAGATGGGAAACAGCGCCCTGAGCCCCGCTCTTTCTCTCGGCCTGCCTCTCCAGTAACTCAGAACATGCACGGGCCACTGCAGTGCGGAGAGGAGTCTCTCTGCCCCCGAACACGGCAGCTGAAAGGGGCGCAGGGCATGCCCTTTGCCGCACCAGCTGCTACCAGGGAAAAGAGGGGTGGCGCCAAGCGGGCATCTCCTGCCTACAGTGCCAGCTGAGCAACAACCTGTTGGCCAACCTGGAAAGGAAGAGGCTGCCCTCCACAGGCCCTCCGGGAGGGAGGGCCCAACGGTCACTTGCCGGTGCTGGGCAGCCGGCTTCAGCCAGAGCAGGAGGCCTGAGGAGGATGGAGCACTCCTCCCTGGCCCCTGCCTTGCTGGCCACCCTGACGCTGGCTAGGAGGAGGCTTCAGCAGCCACTGCAGGAACGGGGTGTGGTGGCCAAGGTGGATGGACAGGTCCGCCTTTCCTTCCCTCATGCCCAAGGCTCCAGAAACCGAGACTTCTCCGGAGGGGGGCTGGCCTGAGCGGGGCAGGACGCTCCCCCTGGAGGGGTGCAAGGTGCATCTGGCCAGACCCACACGCCCAGAGATGCTCTCCTTCCAGGCCTCGACAATTCCCACTCCTTTCGCTCAGCAGAGAGTGCGTGGCTGTCTCCTCCACACGGCACCGCACAGGGCCAGGAAGCAGTGCCTGCCTCCCTGACGCCAACCAGGGTCTTCCTCGGCAGCTCAGCTCGTCCGTTCAACCAGCCCTCGGGAGTCCCACTCTTGCCGGCAACAGACGCTGCCAGGAGGAAGTGCAGCACCGAATCGGGGCGTACCTTTCTTTGCAGGGAGAGAGCAGAAGTTGGTGCTGCAGGCTTGAGAGGCCGGGGGCTTCTGGTGCAAGAGGCATCCGGCGGCCACCCTCCCGCTGGCCAGGCACTGGACTGACCTCACCTGCATGCCACCTCCGCAGGTTGCCGTGCACTGTAGGCAAGAAAGGAGGTAAGGAAAGACTCTACCATACACTCCCTAGGATGTGAGCAGTTCAAAAACACCCATGTGTAAACAGAGAGTCAAAGGCCAGACTGCGGCCTCTCCTGGCTTCAGCAATGCCTCTGGGATCCATGCAATGTTCCAGTATTCCAGCAATATGCCCATTCTCTTGGTCTTACGTATGTCAAATGGACCATAAAGATTTTTCTTCAGCAACCCAGTTCTAGGGATGCAAACACCGGCTTTGGTGGAACTTATCCCCAGGTATGGGTAGATAAGATTGCAGGTTTAGTGTCTTTCTACTGTTCCCACAAATGTCTATATGATTTCTTTACCCAGCATCTAGAAAAACCCAACAAATGCCACATCTGGGGTCTTCTTAGACCCCAAGCTGAATTCTAAAATTAGGGAATATTAAATGTCCCATCCTGCAACTTTGGTTTGTTTTCTTTCTGTCTGCACAGAGATAGCCTAGCTGCAGTTATCCATGCTCTGGTGACTTCTCATCTGGATTATTTCAGTGTGGGATGCATTGCCAACTAGAAACTAGAAACTTCAGCTAGTTGGAAATAGGACAGCAAGAGCAATATGACCACAAGATTCCCGTACTTCAGCTACACTGGCAGCCAGTCCATGACCAGGCCAACTCAAGGAAATTGAGCTGTAATTAACATTCAAGCCCTAAATGGCTTAGGGCTGAGTTACCTTAAAGATTCTTTCCTCCCTTATAGATTTATTTACATTTAGTTTCAATTCTGCCTAACAGCTGAAGCTCTCTGGGCACCTCACAAATTCCATTAGAAAAACCCAGTAAAAGATACCTAAAATAAAAAGATCGTTGAAGTGTATAATCCAAAATTTAAGATCACATTATAGAACAAGTTAAAATAGACATAAAATAATAACTTAGAAGAAGGAAAATCTTCAGCCCTGAAGCAACTAGCAAAAGATGCTTGAATGCCCTGTGGCAGAGAGCGCCTTGATCTGGTGCCAAAATGGTAGAAAGGTTGGCACCAGGCTCCCTCCGGAAGCCCCACCCGGGGAAGCGAGGTGGCCGGAAAATGAGAAGGGAGCCTTTTCTAGCTTGGCACTCCAGACTCATCAGAAGGCTGCCTTATTTCCTATTTGTGGTCCCGTCAGGACCTTGTTTTCCCAGGCAGTTTGGTCTTCCAGTTTCTGATGTTTTACATCTGCTACAGTACTTTAAATCTTAGTGGGTGCTAAGTTTCACGTTGGCTTTTATGTCTATTTTACACTGTAGTTTTCAACTTTTATAGGGTATTTATGTGGCATTTCCAGGTTCCCATTATTGTGAATCACCCAAGCAGCGTCAGCTCCTTGGCAGTGTAGAAATGCAAGAAACGAACAAGCAAAATGGGTTCATTTTAGGCTAATTCTTCAAATGAAAGGCGATAATAAACACAGGCAGCCACTAAAGCATCAGATGGTGAAACGGGCAGCCGGTCCAAGAATAAACGTCCATGGGCATCAGTCCACGGCAGTTTTATAATCCTCTCCAGTGGGAAGTGGCGTATGGTGTGAAAACACTTACAGCCAGGGCAGCCCTAGCGACGTATTCACATGTAATCTAAAACTGTGCTAAGTGCGGGGAACTTCTTGGCTACGATGACAAGAACACAGAGACGCTTCCCAGATAATTGCTGGCTATTAAACGAACTGCGGCCAATTTAACTTGGAGTAAGGCTGCCGCATTCCCGCCCCAAGCCTTTGAAGTGATCTCCCAGAAACTTCACTTAAGAAATCGGAGACTTTAAGGAGCTGTGACGGTCTTTCAACAAGTGCAGAAACAGTAGGAGTCTTTTGTAGTGTAGCTCGCGAACGGCACTACACTTTCTCATTCTGAAGTGTCTGATGAAGCCTTTTCTTTTCCTCCAAAATGGTGGGCCAGCTGTTACTGGTGATGCACAAGGAAGAGGAGTCGAGTGTTCGAGGACCTGCTTCTGAGTCTTTTTGCAATGCTGCAAAGAATTTCTCCATCTCTCCCACACCAGGGAAGCAGGATGGCGGTGATGGAGAGGCAGCGGACTAGGAAGTTCATGGCAGAGCTGAAATATAGCTGGGGACCAGGTAAAAGAAGCCTTAATAAGCTATAAAGATTATTGCTGACCTTTGGGAGTTTCCACTGCCTATGTGTGAGAAATCTGGTTTCTGGGTAGGAATTGCGTGGATTTCCTCAGCTTGGTCTCCTGGACTCTGGCCCACTTTCCCTCTGCCCGAAGTGTGTCTGAAAGTCGGCCTGGGTGTCCAGCAAGAACCGAGTCCCGGCAAGTGCAAGGGCTGCCTTTGAGTACATGCTGCCCGTATCTCCTGCAATGCCAGCTGAGTTTTGCTTCCACACACGTGGCTTGCGGGCTGTGCACACTTTGTGCAAGGAATTGCACACTTTGCAGAGTAGTGCGAAGAACGGTGGACTTTGTGCCAAGAGTCATGTACTTTGTGCAAAGAAGCTGCCGGCCTTCGCAAGAACTGGCTGCTGGGTCTAGGCTCGGCTTTTCCCCTGGCCACGGCCGAGTGCCGGAGGAAAGCGCAGCAAGCGCAAGGGAGCTGGATTTCAGCGTGATCCTTGCACCCCTCGTCTGCACCTCTCCCAGCCGGCTCTCTCCACCGAGTGGTGGCCCATTCCAGCATTATAAAGTCAGGGCAAAAGCAAGACCTGATGGACCCAAGTTGGCCAGAAATGCAAGGTGATTTCAAAGTCGCTCGCTTCTTACCTGTGACCAGGAAGAGGTGACCCAGCTGGCCTGATTCAGAGGTGAGTATGCAGGGCTTCTGGGGCACAGGTTGAGGACACAGTCCTTCTCCAGGGCTGCATTTGGCTGCTGCAGGTGAGAACACCTCTTGGGAGCAAGTTCTTTGTACTTTCCTGACGCGTATTTCTCTGCACAGTTGAGCATTCGCCTCTGCACTCCTTTTCCGCACGTCGCAGAGCACTAGAAAAAGAAGGGAATCGGCCGCATTCATTTGTTTACTTTGTCTCCACTCTGTTCTGGCGGTAAAAGATGCTCTCCAGGCGGTTCACAAATTTTAAATGCTACACACTCATGATAATACAACACGATATAAAATCTTTAAAATGCAACATTCAAAAGCAATTCAGAGCAGTTACTTAATGCGCTGCCCACTGTGTGCTGTCAAATGTCAAGGTGCAGAAAACAGCCTGACGCTGGTGCTGGAAGGATGGCGCTCTTGGTGCCAGGCGGACCTCAGTGCAAGGTGGTGGGCATTCAGGTCAGGGCCACCCCCAAGAAGGACCTCCCTTTGGTTGCCAACTTCTGTGGTTCCCTCGGAGGAAGCCTCAGAGGTGGATTGTCATGTCCTGGTAGGTTCATGCTGGGGGAGGCCCTCCGGCAGGTATGGAAGTCCTGAATGCTCAAGGCTTTATAAACCAGCACCTTGAATCAGGTGTGGAGATGTCAGGCAGGCAACGCAGGTGGGCCAGAACTGGTGCTCATGTACTCTGATCCCTGTTTGCAATCTGGCTACTGAAGTCAGGCTATCGCTGGCCGGATCAGAGACAACTGGGCCTCCAGGCAAAGCTGGTAGAAGGCCTTCCGTGCCACTCAGCCTCTAGTGGTGAAGATGACTCCAGGAGAGATGCCAGGCTAGGAACTGGCTCCTTCAAGGGCCACGTAACCCCGCTCAGAATAGTTCCGTCTGGTCAGAGGAACCACCCACTGAAAACAGCTCAGGTTTGTCTGGACTGAGCTTCTGTTTACTACTTCTTATTGACTCCAGTATCAAGGCCAGGAGCTATTCAAGCCCAACCGAGGTCTCACCTGATGAACTCAAGAAGGAAAAGCCAAGCTGTGGGTTATCAGCCCCCCAGTGGCAACCAAGTCCGACACTTCAGACAACCCTGCTTGATGGTTTCACCCCAGTGTTAAATAGCACGGTGGATAAACCAACCCCGGGGATCCAAGGACCAGCTTCTGCAGCTGGCCGTGCCCAAATCCGAGTGGAGCTGCTGCAGTGCCGGCCTGCCGCTCCCACCCAACTCAGACAAGTGTCCCAGGGTTGGTGTTGAAAGTCAGCAAGAGCATCGACCGTCTCTCTCCTGACAGAGGATGACCAAGGATGTTTCCACGCCCAACCCAGGGGATCTGGGTAATCCGTTTCAGACAAGACCTTCCGCAGCTGGTTGGTATGGCCATCATGTAACCTGCAGCCCCCTTCTGCGGGGATCCTCTGCAGCTTCCCTGGGACACAATACCTTTGGCACGGTTCTGGTTTTGCTCTACATCTCTGCAAGCGACATGAGAATGGCTGCCTACGAGCCGCTGCATTCCATTGTATTAGCCGTTAGTGTACTTATTCCTCACCATCTGACATGGGTAGGTGCCTCCAAACGTTTTGGACTGCAAGTTCCATAATCCCCACCACAAGCTTGTGGACCCATCTTTGCCATTTCTGAAGGATATCATTTGCACTTTGGGCTTTTGCTGGGTGCAAAGTGTGGGACACTCTTGGATGGACAACAGGAACTTGGCTACAACAGTATTTTTAGGAGAAGTACTGCTGCCATTTTGAATTCTGGGAGCAGTTTCTCTTGGTTGCAGAAAACCCAAGATAGAAAGGATATTTTAATCTGGCGCTTTCTCTGTATTTCAGTCAATCACTTTGTGCGACAGCGAATGCATGTTACTAGTTTTCTCCAAGCACTGGCCATGCTGGGGATGATGGGAGTTGCTGTCCAACCAATCCGGAAGGCATCACGTGGGGGAAAGTTGGCATATACCTGTTTCAGTGCTACGAACAAATTCGATGCTGTAATTCTGTTTAACACCCATTTTGCAGTGAATGAAAAGGCAGCCCAGCCGTCTAGTTCCTCACCTCGGTCCACGCGGTCACCAGCCACTGCAGCTTTTTGTGTTTATGGCACCGTCTCTGGAGGCAGGCCTCTTGCACCTGCGGTTTCTGTTCTGCAGCGCAGGCGAGGTCGGGCAGAGCCGGAGCCCAGGGGGAAGGGCTGGCGCGCTTGCAAATGACCGCTCTTTTTCGCCAGCCTTTTCCGCAGGTCCTCGAGCACTGAGAAAGTGAGTGGAAAAGACCCAGACGTTCAGAGGCTGCCGCTTTCCGGAAGCGGAATGAAAAATAAAAGGAATATGTTGCCAGGAGCTGCATTTTTCTACACACATTTATCAGTGCATTATTTTAATTTGATAACATACCCTCAAATAATGGTTAGAAGTACGTGTTAGAAAAATGCTGCTACAGGCTTTTCCAGGATTCAGGAGGACTCCAGATTAAGAACATAAGAGGAGTCCTTCTGGGTGAGTCCAAAGGTCCACTGAGCCTAGCATACTGTCTTCAACAGTGGACAGCCAGGTGCTTAAAGGAAGGTACACAAACACAGTTTGAGGAGAGCTCCCATCCCACATGGCCTCCGCCACATCTAACTGGCATTTAGTTGTCTGAATAGGAAAACAGTCTGCAGTGTTTAGCATTCGTTGCTTCTCTTTAGGCCAATTCTGCTGTAGCTTTCTCAGTCCGAAAGTTTGCAATGCATCGCTTAAAGATGCTAGAGAATTCAGGACTTGGCACGGCTAACAGCAAACTGGAGAGGGGGGAAGATCCACTTTGCCACACGAGGAATCGAAGGGAGGGTTTACCTTTCAGGTGTATTGTACCTTAGCTTCACTTTGATGCCGGGGAGCTGCAGGGATCACAACATCAAATGCTGCTGCCATTGATGCTTCTGCAGATGAATGCAGACTGACAGATATGATGTGTGCGATGGCTGGGCATGATGGGAGCTGAAGTCCTGCACATCATGGTGGGCGGACCCCAGGGTAAGAACAACTGGCCTACCCATTCAGAAATAAGCTGTGGCATAACGTTTCCTGAACCATATCGCCTGGGGGAGTGTGTGTGAGCATGACCACCCTTCATAAAGAGAATGAGGACGGCACGGCCGGACCCCTTCACCTGGCATGCTGGTTTCCGGTGAATCACGGAGGCGACAAGGTGGCCTTTGCTGATGTTTGGAGATCATTCAGTCCCAGCCTTGAACTACTCTCTGTGCGGCAGAATGCCTGGGCTCATCCCCTCAGCTAGTGGTGCATCGGGGACCAGGTGGATTTCTCTGCGCCCATCAGGCAAAGGCCGAACGCCAGGAAGAACTGTTCCCACAGTAGATGCTGAGGCAAATTAGCTGAGAACACCCAGAGAGTCACAAGCAAAGCTTGCATTGTACTGCTGCTCTGCCTCGTTCGTGGAATTTACACAACAACATCCTCAACCTGTAACGCTTCCTCGTTTCTAGTCACTTCCTATTTTTCCTTCCTAGGAAAAAACCGATTCAGACGCAAAAGGCAGAATTGCTGAATAAAGTGCTTTGGTTGTGTTAGGAACATTTTACCAGGAAGCATCTGGCCAGAAGAGCTCCCGTGTTTGAAGAATTTAATTTACCTCGGACCAAGGACCGGCATTCCAGGTGGGCGGGCAGCTCTGGGTGTTGCAGAGCTCCCTGGCGACTGGGGCAGGAAGCCGACAGAGAGAGTCCGAAACCTGTTCTGGTTTGTACTGGATCCTCTGTGTGCAGCGAACGGAGCGGTGTTTCTCTCCTACTCCACACGTCAAGCTGCATTCACTCCAGTTGCCAACAGACCAACTGTGGGGGAAAAATTGCAAGCATTATCTGTGTGTGGAGGTTATTGCTTCATCAGGCCAAAGAAAAAGGGATCTGATTTCCTTGCAACCATTGCATTCATACCTCGCTTTTCCTGCAAAATGCTCAGTCTGTCTTATTAATTTGGGCAATTGTCCCTGAAGAAGTCCATTGGAAGCAGCAAAACACTGAGCTATCAGGTACAGTCTCTGAAATTGTATAATGCAACTTATACTTGATACAAGTTAGTTGCAGAGGATGAAGGAAGGAGAAAAAAAGCAATCTGGAAGCACTGCACAAATCGGGGATACAGAAAGACACTGTTTTCCTCATCCAACAACTGTTGAATTCAGAAGTATGTTTGATAAAACTAAGATATGCAAATAGGTTCAGTCCGGACTTAGCCATACCTAAAGTAGACCCAGTAAAATTGTTACGACGTAGGCGAGAACTAATACTGATTTCAATGAGTCACCTCCAAGCATGGGCAAGTCTGGGTCAGGTTCAATTATTCTCTCTTTCTGGGTTGTGAACAGGCAACGGAAACTACCAAGCAGCACACTGCAGATAGTGAAAGAGAAAGCGATCTCAACGGAGCCCCTGGCGTCTATCTTAGGGAGGACTATAGACGCATTGCAAGAGCTGCACCGTATCACACACAGTTGGAACTCCAGAAACGCAGAAGGGCTTTTTCCTCGACTGCCTTAACGGATGCCCCTCGGCCGTTTTGGAGGGACGGTACAAAAAGCTCCCCTGGTCAGAGCGCGTTTGCCCCCGTGGGACGGGACAGGCGGAAGCTACAGAGCGCGTCCTGCTGAGGTGCACCTTCTGCCAGGCTATTCGCTCTGCACTCGCTTCCCCTCTGATGAATCGCTTCCTGGGCCGTACGGAACAACAATATATCTATATACTGCTGTCTGACACCATCCCAGCAACAACAAGCACTGTCGCTAAATTCTTCCCGGCCACGATGGGTCTCCAAAGATGGATCCTGGGGGGGTGTGGCCCTACCTAGTTGGACAAGGACAAAGTCTGGGATTGCCACTGATTTAAGATGACTGATATTGTGTTGAACTATTTATTAATCCGAGTGGGGTTTTCATACAGATAATGTCTTATGTATTTACTTTTTAAAATCTATGTATTTATTGAATGGAGCTGGTCTTTGACTGCAATAAAGTTTGTCTGTCTGTCTACCTACCTACCTACCTCTTCTTTCTAGTTCTTGTCCTCATAAGCACGTCCCTTGGAGAAGCTGGGAATAATTATCACAGTACCACAAACATGCTAGAAGTGGTCGTAGTATTCTTGCTGAAGCAGCCGTCCAAGTGGGCCCGGTCTTTTATAGATCAAGGAAGGCAAACCAGCTGAAGAAAAGCCATGAAAGATAGATGGCTTATCCCACTGAGAACAGGGGCAGTGCTGTCCCATTCTCCACTTAATCCTAAACTCGCTGGGTGGCTTTGAGTAAACCAGTAGGCTGACATGGGAGCAATTTCCCCATCTGTGATGTGCCTTCCAGAAACTGCTCACTCTTTAAAAAGTTGCAGATTTCCAAATACAACGTTCTATGTATAGCAAAGATGACATCATCCATCCCTCGGCCCAGTGCGGCAGCGAGGGAAACAGTTCAGTGTGACGGGGCTCCCAGTCGGTCCTTCAGCTCGTATGGGGGAGCACTCTCTCGGCTGTGCTTAGCGGCCATGCACAAATTCTGCTGGTGTGTCGAGGAACCCGCACGGAAATGCAGACAAGCCCAGAGGAGACACGTCTGTCACATTTTCCCTTGTCTGTCTGTTTGAACAGATGTTCCAGTTGCTGACCTTAGGCAGCCCGAGGAATCTGCTCATGTTCTTTTTTCTCTTTCCACAAGATTACTGCCCGATATCAGACCTGGGCATGGAAAAGTCTGGGAGACGATGACAGCCGATTGGCAAGGAGTGCGGAAAGAAAGAAACCCAGAGCAGTAACTGAAGTCCTTTGCAAGTGACCGAAAACATTCCTGTCAACACTTCTGGACAGTCTACTTCACAGCTCCTTTTTTTTGTTGAAAAACCTGCTTCCTAAAGCATTCGTGCAGAGCAGTGTGCTCCCTCTGTAACCGAGGAAGGCGAAGCTGCGTGCACGCCCGGGAAGGCGCGGAGCGGAAGGGGGTGCGATGCCGTGGCACATGGAAGCAGGCCTCTGGCAAGGCCCCGGGGCTCGGTTGTCTGGAAAGCACTCGAGGGAGTCTCCTCCCCATCTCTCCCGCTGGGCTGGGTGTGTAGCCTCCCCCATGTCTGGGATGCAGCCTCCTGCAGTGGCTTTCCCTCGAGCCGGCCCTGGGGCAGCGTGAGCGTGGCCAGCCAGGTCGCCTCGGCAAGATCTCTTGTCCCCTGGAAGCTCCTGGCCAACTCTGGGACTCCTTTTCCTGGGCCTCCGATGAGGCAGGAGGGGGTCACCCCTTTCCCCAAAATCCAGGTTAGAGGGAAGGGCGGGCTGCTGGCGCCCATGCCCTGTGGATGCTCCTGCCCGGGGCCTCTTCGTTTCCAGCGTCTCACTCTCAGGGCTTCCCGGTCCAGCACTGGCTGAGTGGCGAGGCCGACTGCCCTGGCCTGATGGTGCCCACGCAGCAGCAGGAGAGCCGGGAGAAGCGCTTTGCGGGCTCCCCCTCGCGTGCTCGCTCTGCTGCGATGCGGGGAAGGGGTGGCCTCTGGCAGGCCCGCCCCATACGGGAAGGAGGGAGCTGAGCCACGCGGCTTCCACGCGCCCGCTGTTGCTGCCGGCTCCGTCGCAGCTCCTTTTGCGACTTTCCCGCACAGCCACCAGGCAGAAAGTAGAATGAGCAGCTTGGGAGAGGCCCTGCCTTCCCCTGGAAAACCAGGATGGAGCACGTCTTCCTGGTCCCAGAGCTGCCGACTCCCCCAAGCTCGCCGGCCTTCTGCTCTTGAGGCAAAGATGGTTAGAAGCAGCCCACAAATGTTGGAAGCAAGAGCCTTCTGGGAAAGGCCGGCATCATTCCCTCTATTTCCCTGGAGAAAACCTGGACAAAACATGACTGTGGCTCCTTGGTCTAGCCCATCCCTTGAAATAAGTAATGGATGGAGTGATTAAACTGCAATTAATTGGAATTCTATTGTCCGTTTCTGTTACCACGAGCAGGATGTAGTAGAACTGGTTCATACTGGGACGTGATGCTCAGCCAGCTCCAGCACTCCACTGGCTTTGCTCGGGTGTGAACCTAACTTTTATAGCCTTGGTGAGTCGGCTCAGCTGGGCTAAGTATTCAAACGGTGCTCTCAGCCAAGCCCTTCGGGGCTCGCGGCCATGAATGTGAAGTATCCCACGCAGAGCACAGAAGAGATGCCTGGCAGCTCAGACAGCGCTGCAGCATCTCTTTTAACTTGAGAGGGGTGCTAGATGATGTGAGGGACTATAAGAGCAACAGGAGGCGAGGCGAGGTGGCGTGCGCATTTTTAGCATCCGCAGTGACTGCATAGCTATCCCATTCTGATGATTCAGGATCAATGAAATTAGAAGTGTCCTCAAAGCTAAATGAGGCTCTCGGAGGCCAAAAATGCAGCAGGACAGTTTCTCCTGCAGGAGCAGCTCCGATAAATTGCTTCCAGGGCATTTCGCGCTGTGTGCGCTATCTTACAGCTGTTCGGTTGAATAAGAGCCCAGCAAAGCCTGGACGTTTGGCTTGTAATTTATAGCGAGGTCTCTCTCCACATCTTGTAGAAAACAGCTCGTCCTTCTTTGTGCACTAGGGTGACTTAGTTATATTTTTATTAAGTTCATTTTCATAAGATATGCCCGTCATGGAAAATGCCACTGCATTCTAAGTCCGAGTGTCAAGATGGCAGGGAAAGACTAAGGCGGGGGGGGGGGGGGACCTGATTCTCTAAGCACCACCTTTCTTTAGCTGTTATTTATCTACTGGCCTTCAGAGGCCCCTGGACTTCATTTCCCAAAATTCCCAGCACTTGACTGGGAATTCTGGGTGTTGCAGTCCAAACGTGTCTGGAAGTCACAAGATTGGGGAAGGCTTATCTCAGCTTATTTTGCCTCTTCTGAAAAACTGTCTTTAGGGCAACAGTAGGTAATGGCTTGCCTTCCAGATGTTCTGGACTACAGCTCCCATAATCCCTACAGTGGCCATGTTGCAGTCCCAAATGTCTGCAGCGCAACCCTTTGTTTACAGAGCTCTAGAAATTAGGAGGAGAAAAGCTACTTTTCACAGGCTGGGTATAATGTGTATTCAGGATCTGAGGAAAAAAACTCAGAACAGGGTATAAGACTATGCAAGCTTAGCTAAGCCTTGCATATTAGTATTGCCAATGAGTTGGCCTGGGGCTTGAGGTGGAGAAAGGACAGCTTGTCCAAGTCCACCTCATGAGTTCACGGCGGAGAGCTGATTTCCGTCAGAGACACAGTCACAGCAATACGATGTGTCAAAACATGCCGTATCCCACGGAGGCCTGGTAAGAGCTGCTCCCTTCTGTGTGCACACAAGCATGTGGTCACTCCAGTAACGGTGGGCATTTCCCTGGACCAGCCCCTTCCCAACCTACTACCCCCACCTGTGTTGGGTGAGAACGCTCAGCCGCAACCAGCCGGGCATGCATCCAATCAACAAAGAGGGGTTAAAAGAACGAAACCAAATTCCAGGCATGATGAAACGTGAACGGTTTGCACGGCACTCCTCAGTCCCAGTGGTGAGGGGGCCAACGGGCTTCCCAGGAAAGACAGCTCCACAACCAGGGTGACATAACTCAAAGCCCGCATTGTCCTTTGTCCCAGTCAACTGAACTTCTAATAATAACAGAACTCTATGCAAGGCCCCCAAGGCTGAATGCTGAGGATGGGCAGCTGCGCTGTAGGAAGCCTTGAGGGGATGGCGAGCCAGTGCTGTGCCAGCTGGTTTGGACTGGAGCCAAGCAACAAGTGAGCATGAAGCTCAGGGCGATGTGCTCTTGAAGCCAAACAGAAACTTGCAAAGAAGAAACGCTGCCCTGTGAGGAGAGACTGAGAGACCTGGGCATGTTCAGCCTTGAAAAGAGAAGACTGAGGGGGACATGATGTCCCTCTATAAGCACCTCAAAGGCTGTCAGAAAGGGGAAGGTCAAGATCTCTTCTTGCTGATGCCGGAGTGTAGGACACGGAATAATCAGTACAAGCTGCGACAACCCAGATTCAGGCTGGACATCAGGAAAAGCTTCCTTGCTGTCAGAGCGATATGAAAGTGGGACCAGCTGCCTGGAGAGGTGGTGGCTCTCCCACACTGGAGACATTCAAGATGAAACTGGATAGACATCTGAGTGGGATGGGGTAACTTGGTGTCCTGCAACAGAAGGGGTTGGACCTGATGGCCTTCATGGCCCCTTTCAACTCTACTATTCTAGGATTCTATGAAACACCAAGAAACGCATCAGAAGCAAGAAGGGCCTGAGCCCCAAAAGAAAGCCTTTCATGGCCCAGGAGGAACCAGTGCCCAGGCTCATTGGACAGAAAATTGAGGGTCCTGCACTGCTGGAAAGATGTTGCAACCTGCAATTCTGAAAGATCATCACACAGACCATCGGGCAGCTCCCAAGAGGAGGGAACAGCCATCCTTCAAACATCCTGGTCCTAATTAGTTAGGGCTTTGTAAATAATGACCCAGACCTTGAAATGTGCCCCCTGGAGATCAGGGGCGGAGGAGCAACTCCAGAGCCCCTTTGAGCCAAAAGGAGCATTATGAATAGCTCATGGAATCACGGAGCAGTAGAGTTGGAACCCCTGCTAGTGCAGGACTCAGGTGGTGGGCCAAATCCATCTTGAACGCCTCCGGTGTGGGAGAGCCCACAACCTCCCTAGGCCATTGGTTACACTGTCATAGTCCTCTATCAGCAGGGAAGTTCTTCCTGACGGCCAGGTGGAACCTAGCTGCCTGCAACGTAAGCCCAATATTCTGTGTCTTGCAATCTGGGATGATGAGAAGAGATCCTGCCCGTCCTCTTTGTGACAACCTTTCAAGTACTTCTCGAGTGCTGTCCCATCTTCTCTCAGGCTCCTCAAGGCTGAACATGTCCCATTCTCTCAATCTCTCCTGGTAGGGCTTTGTTCCCAGTCCAGCTTGTCAATCGATAACAACAGACCTACCAATACAAACTGCGAAACACACAGGAGACAAGGTGCTTTTAGTACCTGGGACGGCAAGCAGGCATCTTGCATGGAACGATTCCGGTCACCGGTTTGCTCTTGGGGTTGCAAAAAGACGTGTCCACTTGTACTTTCAGGTCTTCATAGCAGTTTCCTTTTGTGACCATTTGACCTTCATGCAAAGCAACACAGTTGGCAAGTGCAAAATTATAACACCTATGTACATTTCACACCTCTTGATTACCTAAATCCACTGGGCACTTCTAAAATATCCCTGTGTAAGTTGGAATCTCATGGCTTGGATGCCCTGCTCAAATAAATGTGTTTCATTGTTAACAACCAGCTAATCACACAACTCTTTTAGGCAGTTCTGGAGCTCATATATACCATTTCCTTCTCATTGCTTCCCCAGATAGATGTTCTCTTCCCTTGGTGCAGCAGGTTTCTTTTCCTCTTGCTCCTACCCACAATTCTTTCCCCAAAGGCATGGAAGACCAGATCTAAGCTCAAAGTATGGCCATTTTAGCAAAGAACCTAAGAGTCTTGTCAAACTTGGCTGCATGCAGCTCAAAATTTAGAGTGTGGGTTCATTTCTGCCCTCCATCAAAAGTGTGGGGGAGAAATGGGAACAGCATCCTGGGCCTGCCATCTCTAGAGCAACTTCTCTGCTTTCCCAGTAACTCTTGCAGACCTTCCTCCTCTTCTGGCATGGGCACTTTTCCATCTGGGACCCTGGCTCTGTTTGTGCTGCTGAATCCGCATCACCTAGATATTAGTTTAGTAAGCAAGAGCCTGCTGTAGCTTGTGCAGTCAGTCCTATAAGGGGAAACCCAGACAAACTGGGGCATTTAAAGAGAGCGGCCTGAAGTCAAGGAGACGGAGACTCTGTTCCTGCTGTTATTTTTAGCTCTGTCTTCCCCACAGAGGCGTTCGCCAGTGCACTTTGGTTACCCCGCAGCACTGCGCATGAACTCGCGGTCTCCCAACACAGTGACACCGGGACGTAAATTCTTTTCAAATTACCAGTAAAAAGTGGGGTCTGCATTGCAGCGGGGGTGCTTTACGCCTCCGCCCGGAGACGAAGAGCTCCCGTTTCACAATATGTTCCTTTTCGCTGATCAGCTGCCCCGCTTCGGCTGTCTGCATCCTGTGCGACGTGCCACTATTTCTGCTGCGTGACTCAGCGTGCGGCTGGTCACGCATTTTATAGGCATGCCCATCAAACACTGCCTACACAACACCTCGCAAGAGTTCGGAGGCTGAGCTGATGACTGCCAAGAGGGGCATGAGCACAGCCCCTTCTTTATTTCTACAAATAAACCAGACCCACTGGCTCATAAAGAGTGCCTCGAACAGAAGGCTGGGGTGGGCAAGGGAATGAGAGTATTTAATGCCCATCCAATTGTATAAATAGTTTGCGTTTCTCTTTACATTCGAAATAAAGCCATTAGATATCTAACACTGATTAAACAGAACATTTATATTGAAACACGGAACACTGCCAGGGTTTAAGAGCTTCCAGTATATCTGCAAAAGGCTTAGTTCTCACTACGTTGGCCACTCTGCCTCTAAGCTGCATCAGTTCCAGCTGCAGGTGAGTCATGTGATGGTCTGTCCATGCTCATCCTCACCTTCCTCCTCCTCACATAGACCACAAGCATGCCAGGGAGAAGCTGGGCTTACTTTTGAGTAAACAACTGTTAGCCACTATCTAGCACAGGGATTCAAAGTCACCTAACTCCATGGAGCAAGGCCTTCTGGCTCCCGGCTTGGTGAGATTAGTGTGGCCAGAGACACAAAGTAGTGAAAAGCCCGCAACATTAACTATTGGATAGTAGAAGATGAAATTTCAGCTTCTGCAAAAGTATCCAAGGGCCAAGAATGTTCCTCTTGCAACTAGCTACTCTGGTGTCACAAAAGCAAAAAGATTTCTAATAAACTAGCAACATTTTGGAGAGAGGGAGTTGCCATCTCAACTTATGCCTTGACAGTTTTCAGGCTTTATAGTCCGAACAGCAAGATTAGATCAAACAGGACCGGTAGGTTAAAGCAACTATTTATCTTCCCATTGTTGAATGGAAACTGAAGTGCTGCTCAGACTTAGAATGCCCTGAAACAATTTTGGAAGGTGGCGAGGGAGGTACTTTATGTGCTTTTCCTATACATTCCTTGAATGTGTGGCCTGAGGAAAAACTGAACTTTTCTTTCAAATGTCACTTCAGGAGTGGCTAAAATGGAACCTAGGAAAATGTTTCTCCTCACCCCCATCACCCAATGAAATTTAAACCATTCCCTCGATTGTTCTTTCCAATAATCTCCCTCTCTCTCCTGCCTTTTCTCCTAATTATTGATAACTGTCTCAAAGGACCAGTATTAATGTACACGAAGTATTGTAAGGTGCAAACAGCTGAAATTACAATCAATTGGGCCTAGAGGAACTCTGAAAACTGAGCAATGTGGAGCTTTCTTCATGAGGAATTTATTGTGATACTCCAGTTCAGCTTCTGTCTGTAATTAGCAATTTTCATAAGTCCTTTTTAGAGCAAGGAAAATGCAGTGTTTGACTGTGGAAAGAAACGGCTTTTTTCACTTGTGTGCTTCCACTCTATTGCACTGCCACCTAGAGGTCATGTAGTAGAAAAACAGAAATTGAAACTCCTCTTAATTTTGCAACACAAACAGAACAGCCTCGTGTAGAAAAGCTCAAATGGACTTCCCGCCCCCAGAGGCAAAACAGATTAACTTTAAGCTACTGGCATTAACAATGGGCAGAGTCAGGGAAATTTGGGCCAGAACTTAGCATCTGGCAGCCAGCATTCTCCGGCCACACTGAAATGGTGTGGCAGTGTGTGTTGTTTTTCCCCCAGCATCCAGCTGGAGAAAGGCAACGAGGTGCCATGAAGCTCCCTTACTGATATTTGTCCCTGCAAATTCCCCTTTTCACTCCTTTGCAAGAGGAAAGTGCAGGTGTTTGTTCTTCATAAATGCACCGGCTCTGAAGTGTTCACTTCCAGCCTTAGCCACCTTTAATGCAGAAATTACGAGGAACAAACCCAAATTATCCAGGTGACGGTAATACAGAGATGCAAATTTAAAAACTCCAAAAGCTGCAGGGGAAGATTTTCTCCTCCTTCTGGAGAACGAACAATCCCTTAAAAAGATTGCTCCCGCCTGACGAGCGTGGCCATCATAGATCAAAGCGTTTGCATTAAAGGTGCTGAGACAAGGGCCGGCTCCAGCTTCTGAGGGATCACCGACACGCTGACCTTTGCTATTTTTATGCCATCCACTCCTCCTTCCCTAGAGCTTTGGTCTTTTAAGTCAGGTAGCAGATGTTCATGGGGAAAAAGCGACCCACAAGGCTCAGGTGCTGACTCCTGTGATCCTACGATTTATCCTTTGTCTCACAGCCAAACCTTGGGGCGCCTGCTTCTTCTCGGAATGGCATCCCAATCCCTGCTATCCCAGGACCTATTTTGACCCACCAGCATCACTGTCTGTCCCAAAGCCAGGCCCCAGACGCCTCTCCCCTCCCCTTATTATTAACCTCTCCTTCCCTAGCACTAAAGCTCCCTGGGGAAGAAGAACTGAAAGAAAGCTCTTCTGCTCTCTCAGGGGGTGAACTGTCCAGCCGCCCTTCCTCAGTTTTATTTGTTTGCCTGAATTCACTGTAACTTTCCTGATGCAAGAAGGTCTGCATTGGAGGGAGAGAACTGGGACCAAGAGCAGCAACATTTTATCCAGAAGCACACAAGCGATGCAGCTTCCCCAGGCAGAGAAGCTGGACGAGGCAGCTGAAGAAAAGGGCATTAGAAGGGCTAAGGAAGTCCTTCAAAAGACTAAGGAGTAGATGGAAAAGGAACGGATTTGGCCTGTAACAAGCCCGTAATTCTATCACTCTTCTAAGAGCATGCATGTAACATGAAAGCTAGTGCGGTGTGGTAGTTCAAGTGCCAGACTCTGGACTTGGGAGACCAAGGTTCTAGTCCCCACACCCTCTCTGCCAAACCTACCTCACAGGGCTGTTGTTGTGAGGATAAAATGGAGCTCCATAAGCTGCCTCGGGGTTCCTCATTAGAAGAAAAAGGTGCGATATAAATGCAATGTAATAATAATCAGAGCGTTGGAGTGTATGGCTGGCCCAGTTCCAGTGCTTTTTGGTTTGCATATCGGAGTTGGTGCTACCATGATGTTAAACAAAAGCAGCGGCTCTAAATCTCAGCAGGAAATGGTTTCTGTGATGATTTTTTCTTCTTTCATTTCCTGATTGCTAGCAAACACCTAAGATATGTTGCATTGCACCTCCCATTATCCCCAACCACCATGGCCAAGTGGCATCACCTTTTCCAGTTGGTCGACTCAAGCATGTTTCTTTGCACAGTGAAGATCAACACAACAAAAGACACTTGTTTAACATAGCACACAGAAGCCTGAATGCATATCCCAGAAAGAGTCTTTGCTCTGCAATAAGCTATCTTGTTTGAGATTTCAAAGATATATTACCTATTCCACACGAGACCGAGCACTTCGAATGGGTGACAGTCCAGGTGTAGTTGTGTTTTGGTGCTGCTGTTCTTTCACTTTCTGCCTTAGGAAGAGAATATTCCCAGGAAATTCCTAGGTTTTTACCTTGAGAGAGAAGCTAAACAAAAGAAAATGGAATGATATCCTTATTAACCTTTGCTGAACTTCTAAATTATTACAATCACATCAGCATCTCTAGACTTCTCAAGTCTGAACAGAGCATCCGTATAAGAGATTCCCTGCATGAGGAATCTCTGAAAAGAAAAGAACTTAAGTTGTACTCAAAACCACCCACTCAGGTAGGTCAAGGTGTGTTGTATTGCTCTTGTCCAGTAGCAGGAATCATAAGCAGATTTGCTGGACCAAACTAGATGTTCTATAAGAGCTTTTTGAGCGGGTTGCCTGGTGTTTTCTTTGCTTCAGAAATACCAGGAAAAGATAGGAATTTCGATTGGGGTCAAAACCAGCGAGAGAAGCTGGTTCATTTTTGATGCAGCTTTACATGATGTGGGCCACCCTTCTCTCACCACACATATACTGGGTATAAACTGTGCAAGAGAAAAGTTCCCATATTGTATTTCCTTCCCTTCTGCTTTCTCCAGCAGCTAATTGTATTGCCAAGACGATGGACGGCTCAAAGGAAAAGGGTAAATCCATTTCCCCCAGCTCCAAACCTCTCCAGACTCCCAACACAGACATTAAGATGCTCAGAGATACGATCACTGGAATCTTGCATCCCTTCTAGTTTGTGTTACCAGGGTTCAGCATTTTTATAAGATTTTATAAGCTTCAGCAAGCCTTTCCAGAATGAGGAGAAACTGCAGAGATTTCAGGATGAATATGGAGGATCCCATACAGGTGAAACAATTAAAATACTCTTGATTAATTTTAGTGATGTTTCTCAGAAGTGTTTCATCTTTCCACATCCAAGTAATAGACTCCATTCAAACCTAAGGTTAAGGTTTTCAGTTAAGTCCCTGTAGGTTGACCCAGTTGCAACCAGTAGGTCTCTTCCCAGATTTGGGGACTGGAAATGACTGAGATGCATTAGTTGGTTGTTGTTGTTGTTGTTTCTAGGAACATTAAAATGCACAGCCAGGAACTGGGCGTGTTGATTAAGCAATTCAACATGGGAGCACTGTGCTATGACCTAATCTGGGATCCTGAGTCTGGGAAGGAGATTTCCCAGGTTCTGCCTTACTCCAGGTCTTCTCACTAGTCCACTGGATGCAGCATGGAGACCCCTGACTGACCCCACTGCTTCGGGGCTGTGCCTGTCCCCTCGCACAGGAGCAACACGTTCACCAGCTTAGGCTGAGTTGTGAACTGGTGGTCTGAAGGAACTGCCAAGCAAAATTTCAGGCTCTGCACCACTGCCCGTCTCTAGTCAAAGAAGAGGACAGCAGGGCAGAGTAGGCCTTGATTTCTGCACAGGCGTCCAGGTTAGGTCTTCTCACTGGTGGGAACAAAGAGAAGATGCTGTTCTTGATGGCTACCTGTCACACCTGCCTCTACCTCACCATGCCGTCTCAACAGGAGCTGGGCCCAAAGCTTGTGCACCAGGGCCAACCTTACAGTATAACGTGAGTGTCCAATGGTCCCCAAACGCTTTGCCCTGTTCCCAAGAGCTGCGGGGTTAGCAAAGCAGAGAGAGGATCCTGCTGCAAGCTATTTGTGTGCTGGTGACCTTCCTGCTCCAGCTGAGTTGCCTAGAAAGTGCTGGACACTTAGCAGGTTTAAATATCCAGGACCTTTATTTAGAAACCTGAATAGTAAACAACTGTGATCCAGCTAACGCGTGATCTTTGCCCATTTCCTCTTTTAAATATCTCCTTATGTCACTGGAACTTGACTGTGCCTACTCATGGCTTTGGATATAACTGGCGAGAGGCTGGCAAATGTCTACACTGCTATTAGGGGCTCATCTCATGAAGTAACCAGATGCTTGACTGACTCCATGCTATGTCCGAATTACGTTTTCTCTCACAGCGGATTACTGGTTCTGTCCAGTGGGATTGTCTCCTAACGCTTGGAGAAAGACTTTGGAGAACCTGTCTGGGGACAACTGAGCTCCTCATTTCTACCCTGGCTTTTTTGTCCACCCAGTGATCCTCTTGGAGTGGGATAAAGCATCTGGAGTGGCTGAAGGAGCCCTCACATGAAGGACTTTGCAATTCCTTCTCCTGCTTCTCCTCTGTCCAGTCACCTTTTCTTTTTTCCAAGTTTTCTTTTCAGAGCTTGGGGCAGCTTGCACAACTCTTTCCTCAGCAGCAGCAAGGAGGCAGAAAGATGCCCCTGGCATCTTAAAGAAAATATATGTTAAGTAATTCAGGCGACACTGCCTCCGACCTCATACCTGGAGTTCCAAGCATCCCATGACTATCCACCCCAGACTTTGTCTAGGAGTCACAGGATTGCTTCCTCATGATAGTTATTTCAGAAGCAACACTTTCAGCACAAATAAATAAATGAAGGTGAAGTTCTCACCTTCCTAAATGAGTTGGGTTGTTTAGATAGGTGTATGTCTGAGGCAGAGATCAAACCGGTCAGTCCTAGAGGAGATCAACCCCGACTGCTCTTTAGAAGGCCAGATCCTGAAGATGAAGCTCAAATACTTTGGCCACCTAATGAGAAGGAAGGACTCCCTGGAGAAGAGCCTGATGCTGGGAACAAGAGATGGCAAAAGGAGAAGGGGACAGCAGAGGATGAGGTGGCTGGATGGAGTCACTGGGGCAGTGGGTGTGGGCTTGGGTGGACTCTGGGGGATGGTGGAGGACAGGAGGGCCTGGAGGAAGGTTGTCCATGGGGTCGTGAAGGGTCGGGCACAACTTTGCGACTAAAAAAAAAAAAAATGTTTGAGGCTGTGTGCAAACAGTCTTTAGAAATTCCACCCCCTTGCAGGCAGAGACATTCTGTCCCAAGAGGGGGAATCTGGCAACCATCACTGAACATGGGGAAGCTTATTCAGTTGATTCTGCTAAGTGAACATCTCTTTCTAGGAGGTGGGAAACAGAAAGATCTCAGAATTTTTCTCTGGAAAAACTCCTGGAAACATGGGCTCAGCATAAAGTGCTTGCCCTGCGTCTCCCAGGGCTTCCTGTAGCCACTCTTCCCCACCTATCACTGTTTCTTGCCACCACTTTCCCCTTTTCCTTTATCCTCACTGTCTTCTTTGCCTTTCTTTGTTCACACTGCTTCTGTCAGGACTGCTTATGAGAGTTTGCCCATGTGCTTCCATCACAGATATCTATGATTTTCATGCCAGGCTGTTCACACCAACACACTCACTGAATTTGTAGCTGAGCCTGGATATCGGAGTCATTTCCCTGAAAAACCCAGGGGTTGCTCACAATCTCACAAGCCCCATTATCAGTCCAGCTAGACTGCATTGCACCTGAGTGACATTCCCAGGCTGTCAATGGGGCCTGGTTTTTCCCTGACTCCCTGTGACCACTCAGTCCACCTAAGCTCGCTGCTTTCCCACCAGAACATCTGGCCAGTATGTACACATCTGGCTGGGAAGGAAGGGAGGGAGGAAGGACACCTATTCTCCTCAGGCTGTGATCCAAGATGTCCAAGGTGAAGGACAGTCAAGGGTCATGATGCACACTTCACATCTCAAGCCAAACATTATGAGTTGCTGAGGCTCATGGTGAAAGCCAAGCTTCTATCCACCGCAAAGATACCTCTGCATCCAACCATCTGCCAGGATGCTGGTGATGAAAAGCTGTGCAGCTGGCTGTTGCCTACAGCATGGAACCACGGCCTTTAGAGGTGAAGGAGGAAGACTACAGAAAGCTCCTGGAAACGACAGACATTTTCCAGGACTTGACGAAGCAAAGATGGCGTGCGCTCAACGGCGTCACAGACACTGTGAGCCGTCATTTTGTTACCCATCACATACCTCTATCACCACACTTTCATTGATAGGCCCAGAAGCACTTAGAGTCTCCGGCTGATTATGCGGCCTTCTATAGTCAAATACGGATCCAGCAAACTTGTATCTCCCCGGCCAGTCCACAGTCCAGTAGCCATTGAGGTGGTATTTTTTGCTGGACCCGCGGACAGCAATATAGGAGCTGGAGACATTCATTTCGGACACGCGGATGCTTCTTGCTCCAGCAGGAATGGTGACGAGTGCGTGGTACTCTAGACGCAAGAGAGAGACAACTTGGCTTTGTGGCGTACGAAAGGCCAGAAGAAATGCATTGCCAGGCTTTGGCTCTGACCTAGGGGCCCTGGGGACTCAGGAAACAGGGGCAACACGGCCTCATTAATCCTATGTGTTTCATCCAAGTCCACAGTGCAGCGCTGCACACACCTGTGCAGATGTCAGTCCTATCAAGCTTAATGGAACGTACTCCCAGATTAGTGAGTCCCAGGCCACAGTCTAAGTGCACTACTGGGAAAGATAGAAGCTCAGGCTGCTGGCATAAAGAAGCCCAGAGGTCTGCGATGTTGGTTGCCGTGCGTGGCAGACAACGCAAAGCCCCCAGGAGTCCAAGTTTGTGCCTTACCCTCTCCCCTTTGCAGCTCAACAGAGCAATCCATCCCATCTTCCAATGGTAAGGATAACCCAGGGCATGGAGGCACGTACAGTATGGCCTGCCAAGAGAGAACCGCTGCAGTGTTCTGCTAGCCAAGGAACGTGGCTCTCCTTCCAAGGACCTGCAAGACCTGCCTGCCCACACCATCCCGCCGTCGCCAAGCGGCTCCTTGGACCTGGTAAGCACAGCACTTGAGAGAAGCCCTTCTTCTGCAGAGCTCGGAACAGGCCTGGGGGCTTTCCCCAAGAGGGCGCTGAGCCTTGGACACTCTTGGAAACCAGTGAGCCACCTCCGCACATTCTGGGGACTCAGAGACTCAGGCGCTGGACCTGGGCCCTCAACAGGCCCCCCGGGTCGGGGATGGGGAGTGGGCACTGATCACGGCGCAATGGCAAGCAAAACCCGGCCTCTCTCTTGGCAGGGGTGGGGAGAGGGGCACAGCGAGCACAACCCCTGGCCAGATATTCCTGCCAGCCAAAATGAGTGAGCCTTGACCTGGTTCTTGCTCCCTGGCAGAGTTTCGTTTCCCCCTCACTCGGGTGTAATTGGCTTAGAGGTGTGTCCGTGTCCGTTAGAACCTGGATGGGTGAAGGATGCACCCCGCTCCGAGTCTCTGTGATTGGAGGAATGGAGGATTTGCAAACTGGCTGGGAGGCCAGGTGGGAAAGGACCAGTCCCACAGCCAGCCTTCCGCTCTTAACGCTGCTTAAGCATTAAGTGTGAATCGGGCCCAAGGGGGCTATAAACATCAAGTGCTGGACTCCTATTTTTATGAGGGTCAAATTACGGCATGGCTAAAAACACATCCTTCTCCGCTGTGCTTCGCAGCATTTGGCGATTAATTTTGTTCGTTCGGATAATCAGTTCCAGTTCCGAGAGAGAAGGCTTTTGGCACATGCTCTCTTCTGATGTAATGTATGCGGAAAGGAGCCAGAGGGTGGGAGTTGGGACAACAGCTACCCTCTTCTTTCCACTGTCCCTATGATCTCAGTAGCTCCCATGCTCCACCACCTCTCCCCCGGCTTCTCTCCTCCACTTCTCCTGTCCCACCCTTGAGATGGATTCCATCCCTCAACCACCTCCCACATGCAGCAGCCCAGATATTTGTCTTCCAGTCCAAGAGCTCTCCATTTTCCCTCAGCTGAGCACTTTCCTCTGGCCTCCACCCCAATTACTGCAATTCTGCAGCCCCCTGTAACGAGCAGCCTCTTCTTTTCCCCTTCCCCATCTGTGGACTGTGTGCATGTGGGAATGGAAAGCAGGGAGGTGCGTGGGCACGCTGGGAACACCAAAAAGTGTGTGGTTTTGTTATTTCCGGACTCTTATTAGAACCATTCCATTGGCCGCTGGGCCAACTGGATGAAGACTCTGTGGAAAACATCTACATGCTTGCTCGGTTGGAAGGCTTTCTCACAGCAGAGGCTGTGGGAGAGCAGGGCTCGGAAGTCTCTCAGGAAACTAGGGCACAGGTAAGTGGAAACAGATCCATGTTCGGGAGCCTTGTCAACGCTCAGGTGTGATGCACATCTAATCACAGAAGAGTATTCCTAGCAACGTTCAGCCCCAGCCAGGAAAATGCTAAGGATTCCACAACCTGAATGTAACCTGTCAGGTCAGGGAATCACAGTCCAATGGGCTTGCTCTGAAGTAGCCGAATGCTGTCCATTTAACTTGTTTGGCCTTTGGCTCCTTAATCAGAATACTTGGCCCAGTTATAGTGAAGCAGAACTCGGATTATATAAAGTATTCTCTATAAAGTATGCAGAAATGTTTCCCTATTGATTATATAAGGGGCCGTTATGGCTAATGGGATAGGATAAAATCTAATACTACTACTACTACTACTACTACTACTACTACTAATAATAATAATAATACAGTAAAGGGGAATATTAAATAAAAAAGCAAAGTCGTGCTGGCTGAAAACGCTGTTCCCTGTTTTGATTGTGGGCAGTGGTGATCCAGAGCCAAGAATAACAGGCAGATGTGTTACCATCCTGTCCTTCCCTCAAGGAGCACCCAGGGCATGCTGCACAGGTGTCTCTCACATTACGTTTCTTCTGAGTGCCTTGCCCATGCCTCCGAAGAATGGAGACTCAAATGCAATGAAATGTGCATTTCCAAGAAATGTACCTTGAATCCAGACAGGGGAAGGCATTGAGGACATGGGTGGGAAGGAGGGAAGGGGAGTTAATCCTTCCACACCTGGCACTGACCTCCCAGCCTGGAACTACTACTCAATGTCCCACCGAGTTTTCCTGCTAGCAAGCTTTGCGGCCAAACAGGCCTCTGGATGCAATCCAGCGTGTTGCAGTGTCCGTTCCACCAGGAAGCCTCTGCCACAAGTGGGCACAACATGTGCGTGGCCAAGCCACGTAGTGCTGAGCAGCCGTGGAAGCTTCCCGCCAGGGGCTTGGCTGCACCCCCCATTCCGACAGGCTCAGCTGGGAACCAAAAACAGTGGACGGATTCGGTCTCCCCACACTTGGCTGGCAGTGAGGATGCTAACGGACTTGACTGCTCTCGCCACCACAACTGTGCTCAGTCAAAAGCCACTTCGTATAGATTCCCTCATTGCAGTCCTCACATTGACTGTGTGATGCAGGCTTGCGCTATTCTCCCTGTGTCGTGGGTGGGAATCCGAGGCTGAGAGATGCTGGCTTCCTACAACCAGCAGAGCTGCAATCTGAAGAGACCTCGTCCCTCTGTCTCTTAGCCACGGGACAGTCCTGAAATACTCGCTTGCCGAAATCATTCCTCTACAGGACACAGGAGCTAATGAAGCTTCCCTGCAGCATTGCCGTTCCTGGCTGCTTAGAGAATTCATCAGGCTGTTGAAAAGTGAAAAGCAGGAAGCACTTACGATTTGTAGGGTGCGATTTCGTGAACTGCCCCTTATAGATTCTACAGCTCGAATTATCTCCTTTGCACACGCCACAAGTGTCTTCGACGGCACTGGAGCCTAAAACAAGATCGCAGCCGACCACCTGCAAAATAAGAACCACCTGGAAGTGTCTGAACCTCGGTAATCATTCATTCCAAAGGGTTACCAGAAAAACCATCGCATGTTTCAGATTCTTAGGCTGCATGTCACTCCTCAAAGGCAAAGGGAGCAGACGTGCAGACAAGAAATGGCTCGTTTATCTCTTAATCTTCGGCATATTATTTACTTCTAGCATGGAACTTGGTGGATTCGTGTCAAACCTCAACCCTCTTCCTTCCTCTTCCAAACTTTTTCCAGCTTCCCATGAGGTCCCACCTGTTTATTCGTGCCCCTGCAGTCCTGTAGGATGGAGAGGCAACAAAGATTGAAATTTTTGCATCCACTTTCCATCTCTGTGCTCCGAGGAAAACCCCTTTCCTCAGCTCGCCTGCAGTATTGGAAGTGATTTTGATACAGGGGGGAAATGAGGGGAAAGAACTGCAGACAGACTAGGTATGGTGAACTGGATATCTGCACAGAGCCCTTCTCTCTTAAAAATGGATCCCCAGCCTCAGGCGTTGTGTGTGTGTGATTTTTTAGTGGATCTGGAACCATTCCATGCTTAAACACACAGATCCACTGTTGTCACTTCTAGTTTAGCTCCAATTTTGTAAGAAAAAGGTCATTTTCCCCACAAAATTGTTTCCTGACATTTCTCCCTTTTACTCGTGGCTGTCTGCTCAGCTGTAAACAAGGACCTGTGAGCCAAAGGATTGGCTTAAGTCTGGCTCTACTTAAGCATCCGATATGATGAGAGGTGATATTGAAATCCTCTGACTGTGAATGGCTTGTGGATGATAAAATTTCTGAAAATGGGAATGGCTATTCATTTTCCATTCATGCTTTGGGTCGATTGAATCGTTATCAGTAGATGAATCACTTGCCTTTTAACTGCTTAATCAACTTATCCAGTAACTTTAAATACACCTGTATCCTACCAATGACTCCCCACAGGTATGCTTTCAAGATGGTGGAGAATGATGACTTCAGCATTTCGTAGGCAAAAGCTGCCAGGCCATCTTGCCCTTGTTGTTGGAAGAAAAGGCCAGCCTTAATATTTTATTTTTCATTCTCAGCCTCAGCAGATTGATTTGCCAAAAAGCACAACTCAAGCTACTAAGCCAGATTCATTTTCAGATATGCCCCGAGAACAAAACCAGCCGTTTGGGGGACACACGACTGTCCTAGAATAGGAACTCTCCCCTTTCCCTGGATGTCTAGTGACACAAAATTTGTCATGTGATTCCAGCTTGTGAGAAGCTCCCTGGCAGCCGCTGTGTTGTCCTGGCTGCCACTGGAGGCAAAGGCATTCCTAGCATGGTTTCGCATTACTAGATGTTACCCGGGGATAGAGGAGAGGTTGAGGGGGCTGCCAGTGATGTAATGTCTAGTTCCAGCCTGCAATTTTAACTCTTCGCCTCAAGGAACCCTAAAATAAAGGTGGTGGACAAGGCACGGCACTCTACTGACATGGGATGCAAGTTGGATGCCAAAGCACAGTGCAGTATCATCGTTACCTCGCAAATCCCATCTATACAAACATTCGGGCTCTCCTCCGAGCAAGGTGTCCCATCTTTGACTTTGTTTGACAGGGAAAAGAAGAAATCAAACCCTTCCGCAATACAGTATAGCTTGCACAAGTCTTGGTCTGAAATGCAAACAGAACGAGGAATTTCCCTTCATCTCTGTCCATGAAGCTAAAAGATTGGGGGTCAAGATGGTGGACTGGTTCCCATTGTTCCTAGAAACATGTTCCCACACTAGTTTCCACCAGGAAAGTATCTAACAAGGCAGCTTCCATGTTTAGCTTATCAGAAGTTGTAAACCTAGCAAGGGAAATAAAGGCACTGGCACTTATATTGTTTTACGTCTGGTTCTTTTAATGCAATTAATTGTTGATGTTTGCTTTATTATTTCAATTTGGGGGTGGTGCTTTTAACTTCATAAAAGGTAAAGGTAAAGGTTTCCCCGTGACATTAAAGTCCAGTCATGCCTGACTCTAGGGGGTGATGCTCATCTCCGTTTCCTAGCAGAGGGAGCCAGCGTTTGTCCGCAGACGGTCTCCGTGGTCATGTGGCCGGCATGACTAAACACCGAAGTACACGGAACGCTGTTACCTGCCCACCCAAGTGGTACCTTTTCATCTACTTGCATTTGCATGCTTTTGAACTGCAAGGTTGGCAGGAGCTGGGACGGAGCAACGGGAGCTCACCCCATTGTGCAGATTCGAACCGGCGACCTTTCGATCACCCAGCCCAGCAGCACTGCAGTTTAAACCACTGTGCCACCTGCATTTAACTTCATACCCCATCCTAAATATGGGAAGAAGAGGAAATAAAACAAGAGTCTGATGGAACCAAAGTGAAGTCCCATTGGTTTAAATGCGGGAATTGTAAGTGTGTGGTCACTCTTCAGTTGAAATCAGGGTGGCATGACTGGATTTTATGACTTAATTTTATGTGACTGTAGTGTTGATCATTGATACTCCCATTTCCAAACATGGTGTTGGCCTCTAACATTTGTTTCTTTGGAGAACACTATATTGAAAAGCCAAGAATAAATAATTTCTCTCTCCTAACCAGCCAGTATTTTAAAAAACTGCTCAAGTTTTCAAACGTGTTCAATGAAAACTGAAGGATGTCACAAACTAACTACAGTCCAAGCCAACTACAGTTCAACTGATTTCAATAGAAAACTTAGACATGTGTATACTGCTGTCCCATTTAACGGGTTAAACCCATTTAACGGGTTTAAAAGTGCTTACCACTTAATGGATTACGATGAGTATTTTTCACCCAAATTCTATAGTCATTCCTACTCCCAGGAGCACACTCTATCGGAATCTGAACCAATCAATTTAGAAGCTTCATTATCTTGATTCAACACAAAGGTATAATAGTCTAGGTTTGACTGGTTGAAACTCCACAAAGAAGGTGCAATCTGTGACCTGGAGGAGAGCACGAGATCCACATACAGAGTTTCATGTGAGCGTTCCAAAATATGGAATGCTCAGGAGTGGAGGGGAATGAGGGGTCCCACTGAAGACTTTTGGGGTCCCTTGCCATGCACGCAACTCCATAAGCTCTCTTGTAGGAAAGGAACGGGCCGCGCCTACAGTTTCCAAGGGCAGGGACAGAATCATAGAGGAAAGCTCACCTTCCACTTGAGTGTAGGGTTTCCACTTGTAGTTCCACCCTCTGAACCGCCTGGTGTTGAACTCGGCACACTGGGCAGCTCGGAAGGCAAGGCTGTCCTTCGGGCACGTCTGGCTGTTGCAGAGCCTTAGCATCCGAGCGGAGCCTTCGCAGAACTTTCCTCCATGGGAGGGTCTGCAACATCGATCGAGGAAGTATGTCGGTTTATGCGTACGCGTAATTGGAACAGCATGTATTTAAATAAACCAACCCATGACAGAGAACAACATCCAGACCGGTTAAGCAGCGGTGCCCAAATCCATGGCCCTGGTGCAAATATCACTGCGTATGTAACACGTCTCCTCTGGGCAAAAAGCCACCCGGGACGCTGCTGCCATGGAAAAGATGAGTGCCACATCGGTCATAATGAGCAAGTGGAGTTGGAATGGCCAAGATTATTGTGGCCATAATCCTGGCCATGAAAGCGACTGGGTACCATTCCAGTCACACAGCTAAAAATGGTATTGTGCATTGGAAAAGGTGCAGAAATGAGCAACTAAAATGATCTGTTTTAGTAACCATGCAGTAACCAGTTCTGAGGTCAGCCGCCAATGTCTGGGATTGTTCGGGGTGGGAGGGGAAGCAAGTACACACAGAATAAAGATTCAGCACAGATAAAAGCCGCTGTGAGCCGTCCCGAGGCTTTGTTGTGATGGGGGCGGCATAGAAATGTTTCAAATAAATAAATAAATAAATAAATAAAAGTTGTTGCTGCTGTTGTTGTTGTTTTCCATACAGCACCTAGTTAAGTGATGGAATTCAGTTCCACAAGATTACTGATAGCCTCCAATCGGGTTGGCTTTATTTTATTTTATTTTATTTTATTTTATTTTATTTTATTTTATTTTATTTTATTTTATTTTATAACCTGCTGCAAAGCCTGGCAGTGCTTGAAAGGCGATCCAACAAATTCAGGCAAGAAAAGGCTATTCACAGCTACTTGTCCTGATGGCTAAATGCTATCTCCAGTACCAGAGACATTATGCTTATGTATGCCAGCTGCTGGGGAACATGGGCAAGATGGTGCTGTTGCACCCATGCGCTCCTTGCAGGTTTCCCATGGGTAGCTAATAGGCCACTATGCAAACTGAATGTAGCACAAGAGGCCACGGCTCTTATCGGCTTCTGAGACAGGATTTCTCACCCTCCTCAGCTCCTAGAAAATCTCAGGGCTCCTACCTTGCAAACATTCCTTCCTCTGCTTTAACCTCCCTTGCTGATTGCATGCATTATCTGATTGCACTAAGATTCGGGAGGCAGACCATAAACAAGATTAAGCCAAAATCAAATTAAAGAGTAAAAATAATCAGTGTGAGGGCGAAGGTCAACATGGAAAGGACCCATAACTATGCTAATAAAGTTTAAGGCTGTGCACATTCCAAAGCTGAAAGTGCTTTGTGGCTTGCTGGAAAGCACATTAAGGCTGCTAAAATATTCCTCCTTGTGCCAAGGAAGGTCAAAGGATGAGCCTGGGGAACTGCAGTTATGCAGACCATGCTGGAGCCTACCCACCCCCTGGTGAGGACGCATCTACCGTTACCACGCACGCATTTGGGACGGCTACACCATGCCGGTTAACTGGTCAAGCGACACAGAGAAAATTCCCCTTCTAATCTAACGGGGGTGTTGGCTTGGAGGGCACAGACAAGATCTGGCGGCTTCCACGGCAGGTATTTCTGACTGCCAGGTCACCCTTGCGGAAAACATCTCTCCAACGTGGCCTTGAGCCCAGTTGGCACATTCAGCAGGAGGAGGAGGTGGTGGAAAGGAGTCAGCCACTCAGGGTGTGCTCAGTGAAAGCAACATAAAACAACATCTCCCGGTATATACAACAGTAGCCAACACAGAGCCGGAAAAGTCTGCCCCTAACATGCTAATATTTAACTTGCAGGAAAAGCCTCATGTGGAGAAACGCTAGGAAAACTGGACTCCTCTTTTGCAATCGGAAGCAGCACAGGCCCGTGGAGACTGGGTCTCGATTTCAGATACGTATCTAATTTACATGTCTAAATCACTGAAAGTCGAGTCAATTGCACTCTGGGCATGGCTGTATTCTTTCCTGTGTTCAGCAACAACTTGTGTGCTTCTCTTGATCGGCCAGTCAGCATCAGCAAGGGTGTTTCTTTCTAGATATTCCAGAGGTACTGGAAAAACCAAAGGTTGGACCTCACTGCTTCATGTCAAGGAGTCTGTCAGCGGTCACGCCATGGAGCCACTCTTTCAGAGCTGCATGATGAGCCAAACCGCTCTTGATCTGGACAAGTTGAAGTCCAAAAGTAGTCTAAATAGCTTGGGTGGAGCAAGTGCAGCTCATGCCAATGTGATACAGTGGCTAGATACAGGGCGGGGAAGCCCTGGTTCAGATCCTTACTCACAGGTAACCCTCGGCCAGGCACCTTCCTAGGACGTACCCTACTGTGAAGGGAAAGGCAGGAGGACATTATGTTCCCCACACATCCCTAGGGAAAGGGTGGGAATATATATACACAGACATATACATATAAAATTATTATTATTAAACACAAAGCCCTTTGCAGAAATGGCCAAGAGTTCACTGAGATCTCATGTTTGTGGGAAAGTTCCTTCCCTCAAACATTCAAAATATTATCTGTTTATTTTCATATCTGCACTTCCTCCAAGGAGTTCAAAGGGACTGACACTCGTGTGTTTTGGGTTGCCAGATCCAGATGTGACACATTCTCTCCCAGACACATGAACATATGGAATTGTCAGATTACCTAGCGCAGCTGGGAAAGCCCAAGGCATTTTGCTGTGTGAGATCAAGGACAAGATAGTAGGGGGCTGGGTCTTGCGCGACTGGGGTTCTAGTCCTCACAGTCATGGAGCCAAGCGGGTGGCTTTGGGCTAGTCACCTCACAGGGCTGTTGCTGGTAGGATAAGATTATGAGGAGAGGGAGAGGTACACTAGCTGCCTTGAACTGCTTGGAGGAAAATAGGGTGGGATAAAAATAATCTGTATGTAAATAAATATCCTACTGCTCTCCATTCCATATGCAGGAGCAAATTGGAATGGCAGGTGATTCTTCCTCCAGCCATGTCCACAGGGTTACAGACCTCCACATCTGAGGGAAGCAAGCTGAACTAAAAAGGCAGGCCAAGCTTCCTGGTGCCCACCTCTCCGGCTTCCAAGAGAGGCACAAGGCTGGTGGGCTGAGGAGGACCATCTCAGACCATCTACTGCCCACAAGATGATGATATTATTATTATTATTATTAGGGCTCACAATAATTTATTATTATTTATTACAGGCATCTATATCCCATCCTATCAGCTAGCGCTCAGGACGGCTTACAAAATATAAAAAATACAATATGCAATATAAAAATACAATATAAAATCTCAATTATTAAAACAATATGAACATAACACAAACTTAAGAAAAAGGAGGAAAAATAGAAGTGCGACTGAATGCGACTGAAGAGAAGATCCTAAAACATCTAAAACTGTTGGTTATTAAAATAATGGTTAAATAAAAAGGTCTTTACCTGGCGCTGGAAAGAGCATAGCGTTAGGGTTACAGAATTGAATTGGATCCAGAAGGGGGTGGCTCTCAGTGGCCTCAGGCCACTTTTCCAACCTTGGGATTCTTCTAACTGGCCGTGTGAGAGACTGAAACTCAGATTTGGTCAAAGAGGCACTTTCCCATTTATCATGGGCATCACGCTTGCTCTCAAAACGCGGATAGCCAAGCGCTGTGATTTGCAATCTTGGTTATAAACAGACGCAAGGCACTGTTTGTGATACCATACAGGGACGGGTATGGCTGGCTTTGGCAATGTATTGCTGAGGCATGGACATTCTGGACGGTCTACCATCGCCACCAATTCCAACCTGCAAAGCCTAGCCTTCTTCCAGCGTTTCCCAACCCGGAAAGGGCACGCCGGCTCACCTTGGGTTGGTGCAGTATCGCTCTCGGTGAGAGATGCCACCTCCACAGGTCCTGGAGCAAGATGACCACCTCGACCACTCTGACCAGTGGCCGTGGGTTGGCTTGGGTCCTTCATCCCCGTACTTCACACACTGGCCCCCACGACACCACTGCAACGGACAACGCATTTGCGGCTCAGTGCCCTCGTTCTTTTGCACCTTCAGAAAGCAGTTCTTTTCACAATGTCATATTGTGAGACCGCACCAGCGTGGTGACATAGTTTGCTTGATGTTAATTTTCCACACAGACTTTCCCTCACTAAGAAGAAAACGTGATCTCGGTCAGGTTAGCCTTTCTGTTGAACCCTGAATATTCTCTTGACTTCTTGAACCTGCTTGTTATAACTATCTGGCCGACTGGATAATCAATTTAGTTTTTATGCACTGTTCACCAAAAGGCCTTTGAAGCGACTCCATGGAATGAGGGCAATCTAGCATCGTGGCAAAAGTACAGATTCATGACGGAGCCTAGATGCTTTCATCAGAAAGATTTTCCCTCTTATCCTGAAAGTCACACCTGTAATGGTGGAAGGACACGAAACCAATCCTCTGTTGATGATTTTAGTGGTTGGGAAGTTTCATATGGCAGAAGGCAGATTTTAAGATATGCTCGGCTCGAATTACATACAGAGTTTTCTGGATCCCGGAAACAGAGAGTATCAAAGGCAGGGCCTTCTCAGTTGTGGCCTCCCATCTGTGGAATCGACTTCCCAGCACCACTCTTTGTCAAGCACCACTCTTACACATTTTCTGGCTCCAGACTAAGACATTTTTATGTAAGGAGCATTTTAATAGTTGATGATTTTAATTGGAATTTAAATGTAATCATATTTTAATGAAATTTTACTGTTCTTAATTATGACATTTATTCCAATCTGTTGTTAAACTATTATATGATGTTCCTAGGATGTTATGCTATTCATTATTGATATTGTGGTTTTAATTGGCTAAATTGTGTTTACCTGTGTTACTTGTGATGTTTTATTGGTTTTTTATGATGCTTTGCCGGTTTTTTATGATGTAAGCCATCTGGAGACCCGTGTGGCTACAAGACAGTATACAAAAGTGCTCAACAAGTAAATAAAATAATAAATAAATGGCTCAGGTCATCCTCCTGTCATTATTTTGACACTCCAGCTTTTGCCAAGCCACATCGCCTTGGCTCGCCTCCACCTGCTTCATCTCTCACAGGCTTTCAGCACCACCATCCAAATGCCTCTTCGGGCATTCGCTGGGCAGAGATATGATTCGGTGCCTTGACGCTGCTCCCAGCATCCAGGAATAATCCAACACGGACTTCCCTGCTGGGGGTTCCAGGAGCAGCCGTTTCCATGGTTCCCATTGGCCCCTGGTACTGCTGCACAGGCAGCGCCTGCTGGAAGGCCACCACAAGCTGCTCCTCACAGGTACGTTTGGGGAAAGAAAGGAGGGATGATACATCTGGGACCTTGGGAGGCTTGCAGCTGGACTGACAATAAAAGCCAGCCATTTCCTAGTAGAATATTTAGAATAGTCCTGAATGTCATTTTCCTCCAGCCCAATCTGAAAAGGGCCAGGGGTGAGGACAGTGCAAGGCCAGGACATATGAAGAAGTGCTCTGACTAACACAGTTGCAAGGAAAACGTGTTTCTAAATAGCTCGGTCACCCTTCTTGCTGTGAAGTGGCAATTCATATATAGTGCACGTGTCTCTAGCTTGTCATACAGACTTCTGAATATGCCACTTTCTTTTTTAATAATGTGTCCTCAGCCACAAATGCAGGAGATCATTCATTGCTATCAAGCACTTTTTAAAAAGAATTGATTTCTTAAAATTCTAGGTCATGTCTTTAGGTTGAGAAACTGCTTTTGAAGGGACTTCTCAAAGCTGCCCCTTTGAGATTTAGGTGTTGGTGGCGGCTGAATGTATCTTGGGTAGAAGATTTTACCCCAGTCCTACTTCCATTCCATCACAAGTATGCACCATGCATGTAAATATGCTCCAGCTATGTGATGGAACATGTGGAGGATGGGAGGTGAGGCAGGAACCAAACGTGTTTTTATGCACAAAAAGGAAACCCCGAATAGGAAGCCAAATCTTAGCTGCTGTAAATATAGCCCTGGGAAATGTGTGTATGCAGAAAAATTCCCATGAACCAACATAAAATATAAAGTTAACAATTCTCTGCCCACCTTCAAATCGGACACATCATAAAAACGTACAGAATTCTCAACTGTGTGAAATTGCCAGCATTCAGAAGTCATGACATGAGATGTTTTGCTCTTTAGATGGCCCCCTTTCTCCGACTGAGATAAACACCTGGACTGAGATAAACCGCTTGCCCAAGGTCATGCTGCCTTTCCAGGAGACAAAACAATCAGGACTCTGTTTCTTTTCAGCATCTCCCAGCCTTGAACAGGAATTCTGATACAATTCCTGAGCTTGCTGCACACACAAAATTATTTATTGCGAGTGGGTCTGAATCTTAAATATTACAGAAGATTAACCATCATGGTCTCTGCCTTGCTTATAGCAACATTTAGTATAAATGAGAGATTAGGTACAGCATTTCCTCATGCCTTGCAAATAGGGGTCAATGAAATGGAGAGGAGTGAAGACAGAAATGTGTGTATTTCCCCCCCAAGATGCTACCATCTTGGACCTGGGTGTGGGGAGAGATGCCAAGGTGAAGTATGTAGCTAGACTTTAAGAGACACACTTCAACCGTTCAGAAAGATAGAAGTGTTGTTGTTGGTTTTTGTAAGCCGTCCAGAGACTTTGGTATTGGGCGGCATCTAAAAACTTTAAATAGATAAATAAAACTGGCTCAAAAGCCAAGTAAGTGCCACATTATAGGCAGCTGGGCATAACTGTCTGTCTAGGACTCCAAGAGGCCATGTTTCCTCACCCTGGCTTTAGCATGCCCTCACTCGACGTCAGGAATTAGAGAAGGGGGATCTCTGCCTTTTTACAGGTATCCTGAAGTGCATCCTTCCATTTTCCAGAATAAAGAGTCCTGCAAAGGGACCCTTTCCTTGGGAGTCCTGTGTCCATGCTGGCTGCTACCAAGCTGTTATTCTAGTTAAAGTATTCCCGGCCTTAGATCATGCTCGGAAAAGGCTCTTGCCGTCACTGTCTTGCTACGTTGACATCTGTGATTTATGATCCTTTTTTTAAAAAGCTGGTTCAGCAATGAATCAGAGTTCAAAAGCAAAACTCGGCCTGAGAAAGGATGGATGTCTGCCGTGTGGGATGAAACCAGTCCCTTCAAAGGCCAGGAATGAAACAAAAGGCGATGCAACGGCTCTTGGAGGTGGACACCCTCCAGGTCTAACTGCCCTCAGCCACTCGGGCCCCTTTGCCCGCTGCTCTCATGCCTTTGCTCGTTCCTGAGTCCCCATTTCTGTCCCTCAAGCAGCAAGCGAGCGTGTTGAGTCTGTTGCCACATTCAGATGTGAGGGAGCAGCGGCTTCTGCAGAAGGGAAACCGTTCATTGCATTTGTTTTCCTTTTTTCTGAAAAACAAATTCCATTTTTTCCCGAACTAGGGACTAGGCTGCTTCCCCTTCCACCATCTGCCCTTTTGGGGCTGTTTCTGTGAAAAATGGCAAAGAGGAGAAAAATCCCGCAAATCTCAGAAGGGAGTGATGATGAATGGAAGTTTGTTTACTTCCCAAACCCCAAATCATGGGGAAGTGCAGCAGGACACCAGGGGATGGAGGCAAGGCAGGTGTGGGCAACATGCAATCCTCTGTTTTATTTTTTATTTAAAGCCCCATTTTTAAAGCATCTGGCAGCTGCCACAGAGCACGAAAATGTTCACATTTAGCTTGCAAACAAGGTGAAGTTAACAGTTTTGCTGCTAAATGGCACCTTTTTCATTCATTAATGTATATAGAAAGAGAAATAGAAAACTTCGGTGGCAGGTGGATTGGTTTTATATTTTTCCTTTAAACAGCATGGCTGCAGTGAAGGGTGGAGTGAAAATGGCCCCCAAATGTCTTGCACTGCAAAGTTTGGAAGGGTTTGGGCTCAGATAGGATCTGTTTCAGAGGCATCCTACTTCGATTTGGACAGCTCCTGAATCCATTTAAGTATGGATTCAGCTCTTAAATCAATGTGATGCTCCTTTCTACAGTTTTTGCTCCTATTTTGTGCTGTTCCAATAAGCATCCCATCAAAGGGGAAAGGGATAAATCAAAGCTTAATATTTCACGAGGAAATATCCAATGTGATTTAATATGTAGCCATCAATTTTCCAGAAGAAAGTAATAGTTCTACATTATCTATGCAGTCGCTTTGTCCACAGCGCAGATTAGCTTTAATCCACCGAGATAGAACATTGCTATCGATCCATCTGCCTGCACTGAATTTTACAAGTTTATTCTTTCAATTCACCCATTTCCCAACATCTCACAGTCTGTTCATCAGTCAGGGGCAGATTTGGAGATTGCAGTATCTTTGCTAATTCATTTGCAGCTGTTATTATTCAAAAACAGTTCTGTCTCCAGTCTCTGAAGAATATAATCTGGATAACCAAACAGAAACTTGGCCGCTGTGATCCCAAACTCCTGGGAATAAGTCTCACACAATTCAGTGGAGCTTAGTCCTTCCAAGACAGGGTACTGCTGCAAAGGTCCCTGAAGCTGAGACCCTTCCCGTTGGTTTAGTGTCTGCCCAAAGCAGATACAGAACTGTATTTTGCTAAAAGAAGGTAAGATGCATCCTGAGGATCAGAGCTAATCCTTTTCTACCCTGCAACCTGTAACTCTCAGTGGCCAACTAGATGACGATGGACATCTCCCAGACAGGGCATGAACACAGTGATGCCCTCTGAGTCTTTATGGATTTATGCAGGTGTAACTACCCCCATAAATGGGTATTGTGCACTTTTGTAAGGACACCAGAAGACATGAGTCTACAAAAAACCCCGGGAAATCTTCCTGCAGAGTAGGTAAATGACATGGCACCTTCTCTGGGGAAGCGATGATAAATCATGTCTTTGCTTAACTTTGACTGCCTCTTTTTTGACGGCTGTCAGATGCAGCCCCAGTGGAAAGGCAGATCCCCTGCAGCCGCTGTCGAGAAATGCTCAGGATGGACGCTTGCTGCACCTTCCCAGCGGGCACCGTCCCGCACATTGGCCACTTCAGAAGATCTAATCCTAAGGTGGTGCTGGTGTAGGTAAAAAGATCCAGAACTGCACAAGTGCAGCTCAGAATAATATCATGTTTTGCAAATATTTGGGACAATTAGAAAGATGCTTGGCGACCAAAGTGCTGCTGAGGCACTTGGGAGAAACGGATCACGTTGTCAAAGCAAGGGATGTAAAAGTAAGCTTAAAAGCCAGCCTTTGCAATCTGAGGAAAGCGAGAGCATTTGATGGGAAAAGAAACGCAGTAAGCCTGAAATGACTTGCAGTTGTAGCAGGGTGGCAGGAAGCCAGTGCCATGTGTCCCCAGGTGTCACTTAGGGACTTCTGGGATGGCTGATGGTGGCAGTTGCCCATGGCTACTTGGCAAGAGCACCAATAGGTTCTTGGGCACTCTTTCCAAGCCATGTGGAGTTGCTTGCCTCAGTTCGGATAGTGCAAAAACCCATCCTGGGTACAGCAACCCATAGAACACCGCATGGGTTATGAGAGTGGCTTGTTGCCCTCAAACAAACCCTTCTGAAGAGCTCACTTTGGATGTGCACGTCAAGATGACTCATTCCGGGTTGCAGCCCATGATGGTTTTTATGTGGTGTGAACTGAGTCATGTGGACAACCATGCAAGAATGCCAGTTCAGGAATTAGGACAATTAGGCCTTTTGCCCTGTAGTCATGCTGACATGAATAGGTCTGGAAGAGGAAGCCCATGGAGGCAAGCCATGAGTGAAATAAAGGAAAACTCTTGATTTCACCTTGTTTGCCTTGCATGTGAAATGGGACTGCAGGGCATTAAACTGATTTAGCATTCTTGATACATAATATGCTATATTGACTAAACTTTGGGAAAGCTTGTTATGAGCCTTATTCTGCTATGCATACCCTTCATGAAGCTGGATTCAGAGATGATCAGACGATTCGCAAAGGGAAGCAGGCTTCTGTGCGAACATAGGTCAGATGCACATTTGGAAAAGGATGCGGTTTGCTACCAACAATGCATGGAACCGAATGTGCACTCAGCTCTTGATACATGTTCAGATGTGCATTCCTTCAAAAGCAACACAGTTCTGATAGGCAGCTTCTGTGTTCAGGTACATTCACATGTTCTCCCTCGGGACACTGGTGCTTAAATACTTCTATTTCAAAAGAGCTACACACGGTCGTTTCATCAGATTTTCTGTTATAGTCCTGCATTCATCTCAATGTTAACCCCTTGGAGTTGTAAGAATGACTTATGGCAAGCTATACTTTACAATAGTAAATGGGGAAACATGACTAAAGAAAGCAAGCAGACTGTAGAGACAACTTGATTTATAGATGAAGTAAACTGTTTGAGATTAATTGTTCCTGTCTGTTATTCTTGGACCAAAATGCAGAGATAGCACTTCTCTCGGGGCTGTCTGTCAGGATTACACCCCATTTACCCTAAAAGCACATGTTGGCTTTGAAGTGAGGAGATTAAATTGTGTCTGTCTGCATTCATTCAGACATGTGCCCTGAGTATGATATCCTTAAAAACTAGTCGGGAGTCAAATTACTGAACAGTTGGGTTTAGAAAAAGCCTGATATGATGTTTCTGTTTTTCCCTAAGAAGCAGAACTGTTCTTTCCAAGCTCACCACTAAAGAGAATTTAATATACAAGTGTCCTTTCATTATGAATTTCAGGGCCTATCAGATTCATTAAAACAATGATTAAAAAAAAGAAAATCCACAATAAAAAGGAAGTCTAATTAGACTAGGCATTAAATCCTGCAAATGCTTAGATAACACATTTTAATGGGGCTGAAACTCTTTCATACTGGAGGTGGGAGGGAATTCCAAAGGCAAAGGGTCACAACTGAAAATGTCCTCCTACCAAAGGCCACCAGAAGCATATAAGCAGGTGATGGAAAGATCAGGACAACCTGATCTCTAAATTCAAGTTGCGACAACCCAGATTCAGGCTGAACATCAGGAAAAGCTTCCTCACTGTCAGAGCAATAGGACAGTGGAGCCAGCTGCCTGGAGAAGTGGGGGGCTCTCCCACACTGGAGACACTCAAGAAGAAACTCGGCAGCCACCTGAGTGGGATGGTATGACTTGGTGTCTTGCAGCAGCAGGGGGGTGGACTCGATGGCCTTCATGGCCCCTTCCAACTCTACAATTCTATGATTCTATGAAATCTCAATGAATGGCCAAGTTGACGGGCTGAAGGCACTCCCTCCGGTAACTCGGCCCTAAGCTGTTAAGAAACTTACACGTTCCTTGAACTTAATTCAGGAACACAGTGGAAGCCAGTGCAAAGATGAGCAAAGATATGGCATGGTGGATCCACTCAGCAAGGTAGCCATGAAGTTCGGTACAAGCAGTGCTTTCCAGAAGCTGCAGCCAGAGGACACTGCAGCCGTCTAGTGCTAGGGTTATCAAGACTTGCTGTGATCAAACTAGCCCTGTTCAGAAATGGCTGTAGCTTGCATTCCAGCCAAAGCTGGTAGAAGACACTCCGAATCATGGAGACCACCTGTCCCTCCAGTGGCAAAGATGGAAATACCCGAAGACTGAGTACCTGATCTTTCAGCAGGAAGACAAACCCACCCAGAACAGATATCCTGCCTTCCTCCTGGACCTGCACAGGACCTCCTGGACCTTCTCACCAAGGTCCAACCTCAGCTTTTCATTCACTATGCAGGCCGCCACTGCATCCAACCACCCAGATCTCCATGGCTAGCTTTGATTGAGACACACCTGAGGAACAGGGTGGGGTGTCCTTAGAAGGCGCCGGCAGTGATCAGCCGGTGGGGGCTTATTCACACATGACGAAGGATTTATGCATTCCTTTGTGGGTCTCCATGGGGCAATGGGAGCACACAGGTCTTCCTCCTGTGCAGGTGACCCTCCTGCATCAGAGGTTGCAGCAACAGCCTAGTGATGCTGAGCAAATGTGCTGATTTCGCACAGAGTCCAACGGAGCATGCTCACAACTGTGGGGAACCCTGGCTGCCAGCCGCCATATTGAAATGGGCAGCGATGCTCCCAAAGGAATATTTTGATATTGCAATCAGTAAATGGTGAACATTAAAGAAATAGGGGAAGGCATCTTCCCATGAGAGACCACGCTATCCGTCAAAACCACAGAGACGGTAAGCACTCTCAAAAGTATTTACTTCTTAAAACTGAGCATTCTGAGATTCTTGGGGTGGGTGGAAAGAGCCACTCTTCCTTAGTGAATGGTCAGTGGAAATTCCCAAGTCATGGCAGAAGGAAATTATATTTGATGTATTGACCTATCTCTGTCACACAGAGGTGGGTAGAGACCTGTTCTCCCCTGCAGAGGAGGGCAGGATGTGCTCCAGTGGAGCAAAGCTCAGGGAACCCAGGTTCAGTTTGGATGCCAGGAAACACTTCCTGACAGTCAGGACCCCGAGGGTATGGAGGTGGGTGAGGCCCCGCCAGTGAGGGTGTTCAAGGATAGGCTGGACATGCACATGGTGGGCATGTCGTGAACAGAGCCGGCTGGTGCCGGAGGTCAGACTAGATGGCCCGGGAGACCCCTTCTGACTTGCTCTGTTTCCATGTTTCTATGTTTAAATGATCCTGTGACCAAGAGTAGGGACCTCAAATGGTCCGTTCTTATTTGCAAGTTTATTTTTATAACCATTTAAAATATGGATCAATGCATTTGACTCCCTCAGCCCTGACCCACACTTCCACCCTACCCACGCCAAACCCCAACCATTCAAAAGCTCCCTTCTTACCATGTCATAACCACACATGGTGCCTTCTGCGGCTGGCATAAATTTGGTTTCACATTTTCTTCCGATCCGATGGCACCACAAGGCTTTGCAGATATCCTGTTTGGAGGTGGAAACATCCGTAAATGGAAGGAACCATTTCCAGATATATTGCCATAGTTACAACCAAACATGGCTAGAAGAAAGCAAAAACATGTTCTATGCAAGGCAAATGTTATATTCTCATAAGAGAATTTTCCTGAGGCAATAGATCCGCTGAAAATGGTTTTTATGTTGCATTCATATCCTGCCCTTTTCCCTCTTCCAAGGAGCCTGAGTTGGCCTACACAGCTCCATTTTATCCTCACAACAGCCCTGTGAGGTAGGTTAGGCTGAGAGTGAGTGATTGGCCCAAAGTCACCAGTGAGCTTCATGACTGGGTGGGCACTTGAACCTCGATCTCCCAAGTCCCCAGTCCAAGCCTCTTGCCCTAATACCACATCGGATGTCTTTCTCTTTCAGTGGATTGTAACTACTCCATGGGAATTTGCTGAAATCCACTGGGTTTCTGTCCAAGTCACATATTTAGATCAGCTCACCAATGATTAAAGCCATGCAGCCCTTCTCGGGGTTCCCAGAGGATCGATCAGAGGGACAGCAGGTGGTTGCTGGGAAAGGGACCTTTCAGCGATGGTTCCCTAGCTTTGGAGAGCTCCCCTGAGTTGGCTCCCACTCCGATGTCTTTCCAGAATCAAGCAAATATCCCTTTCCCCACACCCTGGCTTTTGAAATTTTGTCAATTGGTTCTATTCTGACTTGCATATGATTGTCATGCTGCAATTAATTAATTAATTGAGTAATTATGTTTCGTTCATTGTATGGCATTTGTAATATAGCTATCTCATGACTGCTCTTGCAAAAAGTTCTGTATGAATCTCAAGTATGAATGAATGGCTGAGTTACCAATTTAAGCCAAAGCATTAACTTCTCATCTTGACATTGTGAAAGGATAGGAGATAAAAATAATACCGGGAGAACCTCATGCATCGAGTTGGGAATTTATTTATTTGTTTATTTTTCGATTTATATCCTGCCTTTTTCCTACAAAGAGCTCAAGGCAGCTCACATCATTCTCCTCCTCCATCTTATCCCCACAACAACCACCCTGTGAGGTAGGTTGGGCTGAGAGTCCGTGATTGGCCCAAAGTCACCCAGTTGGCTCCATGTCCAAGCGGGGACTTGAACCCAGGTCATCCGAGTCCCAGTCCCATGCTCTTAATCACTACGCCACACTGGCTCTCCCCCATCATCTGTGGGGACATTGACTGCCAAGTGCCGAGGTCGAGCCACCGTGCTCTTTGAACAGATGTGGTTGCTCTCCTGAATAGACAACCTACTGCCAGTGCCGAATTCCAGTGCAGGCCCCATGATCCCCAGCAGAAAAAGGGGCGGGCAGGATCGGCACACTGGCAGCCACTTCTCCCGTTTGGAAAGAAGTTCATGCTGCTCACGACAAATGTTGTGCAAATCGTTCTGCAAAAGAGCAGCCCTCCTCAATCTGGAGGGAGAAGACTGGGGTTCATATCCTGGCTCAGCCGCGAATAACTTGTGGTGAGTCATCATCTCTCAGTCTAACCTACCCAGAGTATAGTCTGAGACCCAGAGTTTGGCCTGAAGGAACATCAGGCATCCACCATGTTGAAGCTAAGAAGATCCAGGACTGGCCTGAGCTTGGATGGGAGACCACTGGGGAACCACAGGAAGCCACCTTGAGCTCCACAATGGGAGAAAGGTTGGGTATAAATATAATAAATAAAAACCTTAAAGATATATGGTAAAGATAACACTGATAGTGGTTGTGGCACTATAATCCATTTGCCTTGTCCCAAGGCAGATGGGTTACAGGCGGCAGGAGAGACATGCAGGTTCCTACCTTCTTAAAGTCCATCATACACAGCTTGGCTTTCTCCCCGAACTGCCACTTGCACTGCGTGGAGGCATCATACAGCTCTCCGGGGAGCTTCTCTGGGTATTTGTACTCATGCACGGGCTTCGGCTGATCCGCAAGACACAAGGACTGCGCCGAGCTGCAAGGAAACCCGACTGGCATGTGAAAGAAGAATGGATGGAGGTGTGCTGGTTGGGGTCCCAAGTTCCCTGGCTGGGAATGACAGTAACAAAAGGAAAGTAACCCCAGACCAGCTGGCCCCAACCTGGAGTCTTGCGGATGCCCTGGACTGCAACACCCAGTTGGCTGAAAATGATGGGAATTGATCTCCCGCACAACTCAAAGGCAACAGGTTGGCTGTTGAAGGCTGTCCTGGGCCTTTGAATGAGATGGCTGGATTCTAAATCAATATGATGATTACAAAGCTTGGAGACCAACCGTGCGCTGCTATCATGCAATGCAGCCAGAAATGTATGAGGAAAGAAAGAAACCGGAATCGTTCCCCGGGGGGCGAGCCCGTTGTCGGACATGCTTCCACGGCTGGATGCCTCTTGCGGGGACCCTTGTGCACCAGTCTGCCAAATGGCGTCGTCAAGTGAAGTCACGGTGCCACGTAGGGAATGTTGTTGTTAAGTGCCTCTCGCTTGTTCATCCATTTTTGTGATGGCTCTTTCCAGCCATCATATTGCGAGAGCACTTAACAAAATGGCTGCTTTCCGTCATGTATTTTGCAGCTGCCCATCTTATCCAGTGCTCAGTTAACATGTTTGATTTAAAAAAAAAATGTCAGAGCCTCCAGATATATAATGTTACTGGATGAGAATATGTAGGGGCCGAACAGTACCCAAGCTGAGTGGAGAACTTTGCTTTCAAGTCCTGGAAATGGCTCAAGACCCATTCGGATTAAAGCTTGCTGGTCATTGACCTTACATGCAGGTCCCTCCAGGTCTATGCAGCTCAAAAACCAAACAAATGCATCTTTGGGATGTCAGACATATGAACGAGTCTCTAATATTAACTCACACTTCTAAATTAAGGACCACCACACTGACATCAATAAACAGGACCATCCTATTAATACAGGAAATGAGAGGGTCACATGGTCGATGCAATTAGCACGGCTGAAAGAAAAATAGCACAGCCTAGCTGATGGATTCTGTTTAACGCTACTTAACATCTGCAAGTTACTCCATTCCCACAAATGGCAGAAAACACCAGAGGTGCTTTTTCTGGCTCTGGATTCTTGCTGCCTCCATTGATGGCTGCTGGGAACCCCATTATGACATATGAAGTCATTTATCAGTGATGGCCCATGTAGTATCGTGAGATGGTGTCAGGCTAAGACTGGAGAAACCAAGAGTCAAATTTTCCCGCAGCCCTGGAGGTCATGGATTGACCTTGGGCCCATCACGATTCCTCAGCCAAGCGTTGCTCACCCAGACACCCAGTATGTTGTGCACATCTTCTTCAGCACATGGAAGGCAATGGGAAAGAGGCAGAGCAAATACGTTCATCCTTCCATCCCCCCTCCCTACATTCCTTGAGCAGATTAACAGAACAGCTGTGGCTTTCCACCCAAATGGGTGAATAGAGAGGGGAAAACTGATTATCAACAGCCATCTCACATGTTAGAGAGAGCTAAGCCCAGGTTTGCCACCAGACAGACACTGTACACCCAGTCACAGCTCTCTCATGACTGGCACTGCATGATACATCTTCATACTTTTACGTTTTTATGCCTAACATAATCTACTGCACTGTTCGTTAGCCTTAAGCTTGACCATGCAGTATTCATGTTAAAGCCCATCTTTTGCTGCGTATTCACAAAGGGGTCGTTCAACAGACAGTTCATGGGGCAGGAGCTATCTTGGTTTTGATGGCACAAACAGCCTGCTGGAGTAGGGGAATTGTCCTGTGGTAACCAGAAGAGCCACTGGGATTGACTGGGATCAATGCCAGGTTGAAGACTGGAGCGCTCTCTCTCTCTCTCTCTCTCTCTCTCTCTCTCTCTCTCTCTCTCTCTCTCTCTGTGTGTGTGTGTGTGTGTGTGTCTTCTGCAAAGCATCTTGAGTGAAAGCACAACGGACAGGATCAAAAACAGCTGCATAAAACCCAAGAACAACTATGATCGCTATACAAATATATATATGGTTCCCAAGGAGATTGAGGAAACCTTATCACGGGAAATTTAATGCTTATTGGGGAAAAAAATGCTTTGGATAATGTTCCCAGTCCTGTCAAGACTGGAAAAGTTGCCTCAGACTGTTGTTTTCAAGAAGGATTACGTTTCTTTTGATAAAGAGTTTCCTCAAACATCTTAAGTGGAGCCCCAGAATCCTGGAGAAAGCAGAACATGAGAACCAAGAATTCACTCCTACTGTCCATGATTTTTCCTGGATGCTCTGCACAAATGGAGAACAGCAGTACTGTTGCAATAGTGCTATCTCAACTCTCTGGGGCCATCACAGATGCCTGTTTTCTCCACCTTCTGGAGACTGGTAACTGGTGAACGGTATTCCTCTTTTCTGAGTCACAAAAATCAAGATCATTTCCAGCTCTTGGAAGGGAGGCAAACACAAACTTTCCAGGATTTTCCTTGGATATAGTTACTCATTCAGCGGGCATACCTTAGGAATTTGTAGAGATATTGGCGACTGCATGCAGACCAGGAGAAGACCCCATTGTGACCTGCCAGCGTAGGTGACATGATGTTACCTTCAGACTTCTTGCATATGTTTCCTTCTCCATCATGGACCATACCAAAGCTGGAAGAGACAAGATGAAAATTTATCTTCTGCCTTTATAAACACCATCTTTGAATGCCAGCAGCGTGGTCTGTGGAGGAAGAACCTCAACTGCAGTTTTCACTGATGTACTGAATGTTGAAATGCGGATGTATTTTGGAAACATCTCAGGGGCTCTTTTGTGGTGGCTCCACTCCTGCCTGAAGGACCATCTCCAGATGGTGGTGTTGGGGGACTGTTGCCCCTGAATAATTCTCCCTGACTAATTCTACCCAATGTTGTTGTTGTTAGTCGCGAAGTCGTGTCCAACCCATTGTGACCCCATGGACAACATTCCTCCAGGCCTTCCTGTCCTCCACCATCCCCTGGAGTCCACCTAAGCTCACGCCGACTGCTTCAGGGACTCCATCCAGCCACCTCATCCTCTGCAGTCCCCTTCTCCTTTTGCCATCTCTTGTTCCCAGCATCAGGCTCTTCTCCAGGGAGTCCTTTCTTCTCGTTAGGTGGCCAAAGTATTTGAGCTTCAGGATCTGGCCTTCTAAAGAGCAGTCAGGGTTGATCTCCTCTAGGACTGACCGGTTTGATCACCTTGCGGTCCAAGGGACTCGCAGAGTCTCCTCCAGCACCACAGTTCAAAGGCCTCAATCCTTTGGCGCTCAGCCTTCCTTATGGTCCAGCTTTCACAGCCATACATTGTAACATTCTACCCAACAGACTGCTTCAAATTCACTGGCTCATACGAAGGATCCTGATACCCATTTCTCACCCCAAAGATAGGCATACTAACTTACTTATGTCCAGACTCATGGGCAATGGTAAAAGCCAATCCAAGACCGGTATCTTCATTCACGGTGCAGCTGCGGTATTTACTGCACATTCCATTTATCGGGGCAAATCCTAGTGCATTAAATGGAAAAGAAGGGAAAAGAGAATGGGATTTTGAGAGCGAGGTTTTAACAAATCGGAAACATGACTCTCAGAGCCCAAAGAGCTGAGTTTGGTGGCTTCAAAAAGCCCATGTGGACAGTTTTTGCAAAGCAATCTCTCGACACACGCATGACACAAATGACCTGCTGCTGCAGTGGCCCGTCACGGTGCGCAAGCGCATTCCTGCACCCTCCCCATTGTCCAACCACCCCACCTCTTTCTCAGCCAGCACCTGCTGTTTTAAATGTCCCCGTCTTCAGTGTGTTAAGGTTTCATTTTTTTAGCATTTTGAAATGCTGTATACGACCTTGATGGCTTTTTAGCTAACCCTCACAGCTGTTATTGTATCTATTTACAAGTGGGACCTCCAACGAAATTCTGCAGTGGTGTTCAAGTTTCTAGTCCCTCCAGTCATCCTCCCTCCACCTCCACCTTCCCTTTTGCTATTTCCTTCCTGCCCTGCCTCCGTAACATTCCCATTCATTCTTCTGTGTGCTATTTTGGACAGTTCTGCCGAGGGTCCTTTCGCCCTAAGCAGTTTTTGTTGGCCCTTCTGCTAACCTCGGAGTTTCTGCAAGCCAGTGGATCCCTCCTTCTCGTGCACGGGTGTTGCTGTTTTGGCCTTCTAGGCCTGGGGCTTTGTGCCTGAACACTGGCAAAATGGGGGAAGAGTCCACTCTTCCCACCTCCCCCCAAACTGTTCAGGATGATGCCTGCAAGGGCACAGGGAAACAAACAAAACCCTACGCACAGTCCCCCCTCTGGAAGCCCGCCAGCAAGGTCCGTTGCTGCTGATCCCCTCACTTTACACACCTTTCACCAATGCCTGCAGTGGGACACGGGGTGCATTTGTGGAGAAGGGATCCCTGGGCAATTTCAGGACTGGGTCCATCAGCCTCCGGTTGCTGAACTCTAACCATGACGCCAGCTTGTCAGCACAGACAGACAGACAGAAATCCGTGGGCGCCATGCTTGCATTTTGATCTAGCCAACACTGCTTGTAGATACTGGGCAACCATGTTGGAAGAGGTCCATTTTGTCAAGGGCTTGTGCGCGGGCAGCTGTGACTCACCCAAGGTGTCGCACGGCTCGTTCTTCCAGGAGCAGATGTCAACACCGGTCAGCAAAATGGCATGGTCGTGCCGGCCGCCGTCTTTCCCCATGAGGCCGGACTGCCACTGGCAAAAGCTGCTAAGCGTGTGGTCGGCGTGGTGCTTGATCACCAGGCCTGGCTGCGAAGAAACATCCAGGAGCAGGAGAAAATAAGTCCCACCATGTTAAAATAAGAACTGGAAGTGAGCATTACCTTTTAGGTTCAGCCACTTACTTCTCTTTCCCCAGGAGCCACCTTTGAAAGAAGGAAGGAAGGTGGACATGAGGGGCAGGGCCTTCTCGGTTGTGGCACGTCAATTATGGAATCAGCTCCCCAAGGGCGGTGCCCCTGGCACTGACACTTTATGTATTTCAGCGCCAGGGCAAAACCTTTATATAGGAGAATCATAGGCCTTTCCCTTCATTCACCTTGCTCAGACGGCTGTGGGGAAGTTCTCCATTCTCCTGTCCGTGATAGGGAGAATGTCAGAAAGAGCAGCTCACTCTGAGCTGGATGGGACTCGCTGTGTCCCAAAGATTGGGGAGGGGCTGCTTCCAGCCATTAAGGTCCGTTTTTGCCGTGGGTCAAGGAGCAGCATGGCCCCTTGTACTGACAGGACGGGCCTTTCAAAGAAGACACATCTCAACATCTGGTATCCATATCTACAACTGGAGCTGGACTGAGACCACAGAATTCTATGGATATGCACCTAGAGCCATGGCTTTGGCAAAAGCGTTGATCGCCAGTGACCTGCAATGTGAGCTTGTAACCAAATATAAAGGATGTCATTTGCCACCAGTCCGTTGGTCAACACATGGGAAGATGCTATTAATTAGACTCAAAATACTGTTTTAAAAAAGAGAGAGGGGGTGTAAGTCCCAAAGTGACAGAGTATTGCCTTTAAAGGGATTATCATGTCTGTCCAATATTCTTTGACATAAGGAATAAAGGATAAGATAAAAATAAGGGGAAAATATTGAAAGGGGCTAGGTTCAGTCTTGAAAAAGCTTATGCTATGCAGAGATATCTTCCAGTATAGTAATTTAAGTGATTCATCAACTAAATGCCACAGCCCTAAAACATATAGTTAGCTTTTAACTGCATGTATTCCTTTATCTGGTTAATTTATTCCTTTTTCACCCTTTCCTACACATGGCAGTCCAAAAAAATTACCAAACAGTAAGCAACCAATGTTTGAGAGCAGCCGTTCTGAGCCAGCGAAGTAAAGGAAAATTATGTCACAGGTGTAAGATCAAAAGATTACTCTCCTTATTCTTTCCCAGTTGGATGTGGTCCAAGCACAAAAAGCTAAGCAGTCAATGTAATTAAGCTGTCACCGAAAGAGCCCCTCATTTCAGCACATAAAATGAAGCGTTACGTTGCGAGCTGAGCCTTCTGCACTGGGGCTGCAGGCAGCGCAGAGACAGATAAGGAAGGAGGGCGAGAACGGAAGGGAGGATGGCCTTCCAGGTGCCTGTCCACACAACTGCAACTTCCGGAGGAGGGCTAGTCTGGAGGTGTTCTGAGTAGCGGGACTCCGATGCTTAGCAGGGGAACACACCCAAGCACTGCGCTTACGGGTCTCCATGCACTGGACGGGGTGTTGCAGGGTTCCGCTCTGGCCCACAGCATCCCTATTAGTGCCACTCTCACTAAAGGCAACCAAAGAAAATGAGCAATTCTCGCTGTTCTTTTCACCCCTAATCCCAGACCCATAAAAGCACGGCCTGAAGGGGCTATGCAGAAGGATATTGGTATCACATATTCCTTCTCCGCTCACGTTTATTATTGTCTTCTGGCTCCTCCTCCTCCTCATCATACATTTATACACCTCCCATAGCCAATGCTCTCTGAGCAGTTCCCAACAATAATCATAGAATCATGCGCTCAAGTCCCCCTCCAGGTTCCAACCATGCCTGACCTTGCTCAGCTTCCAAGATTAGGCAGGATCTGACAGTTCAGGCAGAGGTTATTATTTTGGAGCTCGTTAACAAGTCTGGCTAAAACCAGTCCCTGGTTACTGGGATGCCCAGTTACGCATTGCCAAAAAAGAGGAAATGCGTCCCCAAAATCGAGGACCGAATAGGCCATCGTTTTGTACAAAATTTGCACACGCTCATGTGTATTATGAATTCTCATGTCGAAGTAGCATAATTTAAATAAAAATGCATATCACTATCATGTGAAAGACTGTGGCCGGGTGAACTTCGTATCGCCAGCAGGTGTTGAAGGCCCTGTTGTTCTCTGACTTTAGACTGGACAGCCCTTCAAACAGAGGTTGCCTTCTAACACAGGCCTGTTACCTAAGAGACCCCTCAAGGAGAGGATTGTCCTCAGTACAAAAGGACACATGGCCACCTTCCTGGTTGGTGCTAATGATGGGGTTGGCCCAACCCTGAACCTCGGGTGCAACTGACAGGAAAGGGCTCGAAGCAGAAGGGATGGTGAGAGAGCGTGTGGCGAGGTGAGCAGGGACTGGGACCAGAGCTCCGCAAAACTGCCCTTCGGTGCTCAACTCCTTCACTCACAAGCCTGGCAGAATGACCCCAGTGCCACAAGAGCTCTGTGCGAACCCTTCAAGGAGCTGACTCCAAGGACCGAGAGAGCTCCTCCAAGCCTCATGAAACTCCAGCCTCAGGTGTGATCTTCAGTCTTTCTAATCTCCTTGTTTCTTTCCTCCACACTGTTGCTGCCACCTAAGAACCACTGTGACCTCCCTGCTGTTACTCAGCATTTTGGAACTTCACCAGCTGCTCTGGAGCTTGGAACCAAACTAAACATTACACTAACCTGTGCAGTGCATTCTGTGAGCAACGCAGAGATGGGCTCCTTCCATCGCCCTCTCCCTCCCCTTTTTGACCTACAAAGCCTAGGACAGGGTTGATGGACATTGCAGACAAAAACCTCTGGAGGGCCACAAGTTACTACTTTCTGGTGAAGAACGTAGTCCAGGTTTTCTGCGAGGGGATGTATTGGACTGACTCCCCCTCAATCCCCAGGCAATGAGGGGCAGCTTATGTGGATGGAGGAAAAGCCTATGAGAGTGATCCCAACATGGCATTCATGCGTTAATTCTCTCTAGACTGCAACTTGGACACAGCTGAAGAAATTCAGTTCATCTTCAGAGCAGAAGTTCTCCAGGATCCTCTGGTGGAGGGCTTTCCCTCCCATATCTGCGACCTGGGATTCTTTTAACTGATGCCAAGGACCGGTCCCAACACCATCTGCATTCAATTCTGTTCCACCACCAGGTTGAACCCCCTTTTATTATTGCAAGCAGCCCCATTTAATTACTCCACCCTATAACGTGTAATGCCATACTCGTTGTACCTGCTCCTCTTCCAAAAGTATCAAGCCAACAACAGCAATGTTGATATTGCCTCCGATTGTCCCATCCTTGAACAGAGCAGAAACCTAAAAGAAAAGGCAGAAACCATTCGATCAGTTCCATCACTGAGTTCAGTTGGGTGATATCATTGTGCAAGCTCATCCTCACTGGAAAATGCCTCTTTCATCGCCCAAGAACCTTTGAGTGTGCACCTGGGCCATGAAGGCTCATGCCACAGTGAACGTGCTACAGGACTCCTGGCTTAGAACGAACAAACTGAGCCGATAAAGAAAAATCTTGCGCCAGCGAGCCAAAGTTGAGCACCGAAGTGCCACTGATGGCAAAGAAGTCTTGTGCAGGATCAGTCCAGTTGCTCATGAAAAACGAGCATTTTGTTTCATCCTGTTGTATGCTGAACAGAATTAACCAAAGCCCATCAAATTATGAAGCGTTGACCAAGATTCCGATTCCGAGAAAGTCCACACTTCTCCTCTTTACAACTATATTTACAACCTTGCTGCTTGGGGAGAATCAGAAAAGTTTCAATTTCATTCCCTGGAATGGAATGGATATTGTTTCAGCTGATGAGCTGCTAGCAATCCAGTGAGTCACTTTCTCCAAAATGTAGGCAGTAAGATTCGTCTGTCTACAGAGATGATGCAGACTGGCATGAATTTTGGAGGGCTCATTTGCTTCTGTGACTGGACTAGTCCTGAAGACATGCTTACATTCTCACTGAAATCGAAAGGACACGTGCTTAACGTTTCCAGAACCGTGCTCACATGATTAAAAAACAAAATGCTTCACAAACTTTCTTCGCTTGAGTGACACTTGCTTCAAAAGATTCCCTCTACTACATAATAGGATTGATAGGTGTGTGTTATTTTGGGGTTGTAGGACATGAAACACTAGGTTATGTGAGGACAAGGTTTGTGGCTCATTAAGTTTTACATCCATCCTTTGCAGGCTTTATTGTTCAGCTCTTGGGGAAACTAAATATTAACTAAAGCAAACCAGCAAGAAAGCTTGAAGAATAAAAACCTTGTGGTAACTGTGGAAGTTTTTGTTAGAAAAGGCAGTATTACATTTTTATACTCCTCCCAACCCAAAGATTATGTGTGGATCTTTCACCAAAATATCTAAGTTGAAAAAAGTTGGCTTTGGAATTCAGAGGTGAACTTTTAAATCAAGGTTCCATTCAAGTTGTTACAACCCAGATTCAGGTGAGATATCAGGAAAGGTTTCCTCACTGTCAGAGCAACACGACAGTGGAAGCAGGGGCCTGGAGAGGAGGGGGGCACACTGGAGACTTGCAAGAAGAAGCTGGGCAGCCCTCTGAGTGGGATGGTGTCATGTGGTGTCCTGCAACAGCAGGGGGTGGACCTGATGGCCTCCATGGCCCCTTCCAGCTCTACTCTTCCATGATTCCAAGTGGTATTTTACTCCCTGGATTCTTGCTGGGTAGAAGGGAAGTTTCCCCATTCTCATGTTGCTCTTCCCATCTTTCAAGTGTGGGTAAACGGTGTGCCCAAGTACATGTGGAACCCCTGATTAGCTCACACCTTGGGACTGTGAGGTCCCCACTGGCTACCCAGGGAGGTGACAAGATTGCAAGGAGGAGGAAGCCCAGAAGGGATTCTTGGCCATCCACGTGACTTCATTAACGGAGCCAAGCTCAAGGAATCAAGATTCAAAGTTGATGACAGGAAGCACTTGCTGACAGGACCCCGAGGTATGGAATGGGCTTCCATGGGAGGTCGTTGAGGCCCCATCGGTGCGGGTGTTCAAGGATAGGCTGGACGCCCACATGGTGGGCATGTCGTGAGCGGAGCCGGCTGGAGCTGGGGGTCAGACTAGATGGCCCCGAAGCCCCCTCCTGACTCATTCTGTTTCCATGTTTCTATATTATGATGCTCAAAATATGATCATGTGAAAGAGTCAGCAGCAAGGTGTTTGCTGTCCAAGAGCACTTGGGCTTTTCCTGCATGTTTTTAATTCTCCTTTGGAACTGCATGGGACTTAACTGCTTAACTTTTGCACAACTGGACTATGTTTAAAAGAAAAGACAAAAATCTATGAGTAAGAATTAATAGAACCAAGTCCTGCAGCACCTTGAAGACCAAAACTTTTTGTGGCATATGATTCTGTAATCCAGTGACTACGTAGTAAACATGACTATCATTCCACTGTATTTATATCCCACCTTTTTCCTTTTTCCCAGGAGCCCAAGTTGGCTGACCTAGCTTTGCTTTATCCTTACAACAACAACCCTGTGAGGTAGGTTGGGCTGGAAGTGAGTGGCCCAAAGGCACCCAGTGAGCTCCACAGCTGAGCTCTCTTGGGTTTTGGGTCCAAAGCTCTCAACACTGCACCACAATGGGCTTTCATTCTGCAGCTTTTTCACTTGTAAGCTTTTGAATTTGGGCCTCTCTAATATGTATTTTTTCCACAGGGATGCAGATGGTGCAGCTGTTAAACCACTGAGCCACTGGGCTGTTGATCAGAAGGTTGGCAGTTCAAATCCAGGTGATGGGCTGAGTACTCACTTTGTCCCAGCTCCTGCTCACCTAGCATTTCAAAAGCATGCAAATGTGAGTAGATAAATAGGTACCACTTTGGTGGGAAAGGTAACAGCACTCCATGCACCCTAGTCAAGCTGGCCGCATGACCACAGACGCGCCTTTGGACAACGCTGGCTCTTTGGCTTACAAACGGAGGTGAGCACCGGCCCCAGAGTGGGACATGGCGAGGTTATGTGTGGCGGAACTGCTACCTCCACCTCAATCATTGTCCAGGGTTAAGTCTCTGGGCTGCCTTGTGGCTACAAGGGATGCCTTTGGCCAGTTCAGGCAGAAGGTACAGCCACGTTCTTGTTCCCTCTCCCTTGCTGTGCTGAAGGAAAAGGGGAAGTACTCTGCGCATGGCACGGAGAGTGTTGCTCTTAATAGACTGCCTTGAGGGAAAAGTTTTCGAAGGAGACCCCCAGCAACCTTCCATTTTCAAATGAGGCTGAGCAAATCAGATGAGCAGGTTATGCAACCGGTGAAGTTACCAGAGTCATGAACATTTATAAACAAAAGAATGGAATTTCCTTCTATATTATGCTTGGTTAGTTGACTGACTGTACAGGATGCAATCTTTCCCGATGTTTGTGACACTGAATGGCTTAACACTTGACTTCTGTGTGTTGTGTGAGAACAGAACGTAACATTAGATATTCTTGAGCTCACCCCAGGAAGAAACCTTGTGGAAGGGATAGGGGATGAGTGGAAAGAGCAGAGCCATGACCGAACAATTCCCCAGCATCATCATATAGATTTTGCATCCATGTTCACTTCCCAGGTTGTCTGTGAAGTCTCATCCATACCATATTGAGTATAGTCAGGACGTAAGTGGTGATGTTGTCCTGGCCATGGGATTCCATCATTTTCTTGTCCACCACCACTAAGGTCTCCACATTCAGCTCCTTGTTCTTGTGGGTCTTCAGGAGGGACCGCCTGTTTCGCAGCAAATACTTATACTCGTCGGGTAAGATGTAGGTGTCTCCACTGGGAGGCTGGGGCATATCTACACGGAGTGAGAAAGGAGAGTCCCATTAAATACCAAGGGGGTGTGTCTGTGTGTGTGTGAGTGAGAGAGAGAGAGAGAGGGAGAGCAAGTCCACCAACTATGCACACCACCAAGATTATACAAAGCATCCACGCAAGTAACTCGAATCATAGCTCAATGCTATGTACAACAAAGGCCCCTTAGCACCTCCAGTTCAAGCTAAGGTGAGGTACCTCTTCCGCTCCAAGGACCAAGTCCTCGGGGGGCCCATTCTACTGGTGTGTGGGGCTGAAGGCAAGAGGTCTAGAGCCAAAATACCAGGGGGAAAAACCCACCCAGTGTTTAATGGCTTAAAGCATTTCCTGCCCAAAACTGAATCTAATGAGAGGCACTTTTAGAATAGAGACAAGTGTGCAGAAAAGTCAAGGCATTGCACATGGGGGAAAGGGGACACGGATATTTAAGGAAGCTCAGACAGCTGGATCTGAACCCTCGGAGGGTGGATTTGGCCTCCTTGTCTGGAGATCCCCACCCCCGGGAATGACAGTACTAATCTGTTAGAGCTGGAGAAGGCCGATTTTGCATCCTGGGATAAGGATCGGTTACACAGGACAAGAACACGGTGAGCAGTTCATCCCCTTTCTATGCAGGTTTGGATGCCCCCTCCAGTGTGAGGCCACTGTATGATTAACACGGCGCTCTTTCCTTGACCCTGTTTCCCACCCACTGTTTTGTGCTTGCATACACAACCTTGCTGGCCATTCCCAGGTGACTAGATTTCCCATATGCAGATGTTACTGCAGCAGTTTGGATGGAGCCATGGAAAATCAGAAAATGGTGAGACTCCTACACACTTTCAAAAGTTTAGGGAAAAAGTATGAGAACACAAAGACTACAAGATATGTCAAAGGCATTGAATGTTACAATATTAATGATAGCAGAAGAACGGAAACAAGGGGTCTAACCTACCCAGAGTTTAGCACTTTCATATCACATTGTTTTAAGCAAAGTCATGTATCCCCATGCTTACAACGCCAACTGAACTTAACAACATGATCCAACTTAAGTGTTGCATTTTTAAGTCCATTTGATTTAAGTGGCTTTAAACAGGTGGGACTTCAGCATGCTTAACTCTGGTGGAGTTGTATGAAAGATGTTTAGGAAAAGATTAACTAATGCAAAGAAGTGGATATATGCAAACAGAGGTTTCTTTAAAGGCCACAACAAAGGTGCAGGGGGAGGGCGAGGACAAAGGATGAAACAGGTTGTGAAACGTATCTCTGAATGACCATTCATACTGTGATGGGCCATGCGGCTTTTGCAGAATTATCTAGGAGCAAAGAACTTAGGAACAGGGAAAAGCGAAGTCCCAATTGCATGAACAAGGCCACCTGGTTTGAGCTATAGGAGCTAGCCGGGTTTTATTTGCAACTGATACGAAATTTCAGGCCCTAGTCCTAACTTCAAGTCCTAGTTCTTGCTTGTAAAGATGTTCATTTGCTGGAGAAGCAGCACTGAACTGCAAAAGAACAATCTGAAGAGCACATGGCATCGTTCACGGAAAGGAGAAGGGGAACTCTGTCCTTACATACATTTCTTGCGCCTCCCACAAAAGTGCTGCTTTTTCGGCTGCTCGGAACGGCGATGTTGCTGAGTTCCTTGAAAAATGTCACGGTGTGCATTCGCCTCCCTTCGCCTCTCATCAGTCGCAGTTACCTCGTTACTGATCTCCATCCGAGGCTCAGTAGATCGCTTATAAAGCACGTGGGAGCGATGGCCGTGAGGAGCAGAGAAGTTATGTTTAAGTGCAATATTTGGGATCAGTGGTTTCAGCAAGTAATCCGTTTCCTCTGTCCTTATCAAGCCAGACTAGGCAAAACAACACAAAACAAAGCAAGACAGCATTAAAAATGAGAACATCTTCCAGAAGACTGCTTATTTTAGCTCTCCTCCCATGCTGAGCTTCCAAGCACACCTTAATCTATGCAGCAGTTTCAGAAAAGACAGGTGCCACTAAGACATGGCCCCGCAAGCCCGAAACTAGATTAGTGGATTCACCCAGCCTCTTTCCCCCTGTTGAAGAAATCCCCCGGGGCATCGTCAGTTTCAACCAAAGTGCTTCTTTGAAATGGAACTTGGGCCACAAAGTACAAGAGGTTCCAATCGCTGTCGTAGGGTGCCTCTGATGGAAAGCAGGATCAAACTATCCAGACATTACGCTCAAGCCTGGGGCCTCCCTCCGAGTGCCAGCTCCAAGGGAAGTGTAGGGAGTGGCCACAAGGGGGAGGGCTTTCCTGGTGGCGGCGCCCATCTCTGGAATACCCTCCCCACTGCACCTTGGGTGGTGCTGAGTCTGTCACCTTCCAGTGCCAGGTTAAGGCAGGCCTGTTTCCTGAGGCCTTCCAAGGCTTCCTTGGCCACCAAAGGGCTTGACGTTGATCACCCTCTTCCCCCACGTTTTTCCTCTCTTTTTGCCATTCCTCATTAGTGCCTGTTCTCATTATCTCTTTTTTGCTGTTTCAGATTTTGAAAGAGATGGATGCACGCAATCGATGGGGGTTTCTGAGACCCTGTTCAGCAGCTGCTCGCGCAAGAGGCGCAGGGCTTGCATCCTGTGTGCCCCATTGCTAGTGTCCATCTCCTCGCCCACTCAGTCCCTGGCCTTCCTGGCTAGAAGGAAAGGTCTGAGCAGCGCTTCCCATCTTGTGTCCCCGAATGCAAAGAGAAACGGCTGCGCAACCAGGCAGCTTGCTCTGTGCTCCTTCTTGGATTCGAGCAAACCTGCCCAAACATCCCCCATCCACATGGGAAGGCACCAAGCATGGAGAAATTGGGGGCAGCCCCCTGGCCCCCTCCGGCACTGATGCACCCACTTTAGGTACAACGTCCAAACAGGGCAGGCGCCAACCAGAGTTTAAAACCAGCACGTGAACTGGATTTGCAACGGAGCTCCTTGGCGCAGCTGCAGCGGAACGCGCTCTCCTCACCGTGGACGTGCTGACGCTTCCTGCTGGCCTGAATGCACCTTGCTGGCCCCTGCCTTGGCACGCTTCCGAATTCACGCCTTTGCTCATCGGAAGTGACTGCTCAGAAGTGCCTCTTGGCTTTCAGGCACCCACTCACACCAGGACGCTGTGGCCATCTTCGTCTCTTTGCTCTCTTTTGCGGAGGCCGCTTTCCTCTCAGTGCCTCTCGGCTTCCCTTTCGTAAGCCCCAAAGATCCCTTACCACAATACAACACTGTCATGGAACGTTTCTAAGCGGGAACCTCTCGGCAAATGTGCGTGCACACACACACACACACACACAGACACACACAACAATGGACCCCAGCAAGCACTCGCTGCTTTTGCTGGGCCCACTGCCAAATGTGCAGATGCCCCCTCCCCGTCTTGCCACTCGCAACGGGGGCTCTGGCAGCGCATTCCGGCCGAGCGGCCTCCTGCCTTCCCCAGTCCGTCGCCGCCTGCCCCAGCCCCTGCCTGGCAGCCACGCTTGGCAGCGGTTTTGCCCCGTCGGGTGTGAGGCTGCTTCTGAGTGGCATCGCCAGACAGAGCCATGCCAGCGACCCGTTGCTCTGGACCTGGGTGGTCGGCAAAGGAGGCCTCATGGGAGGGGAAAGGAAGGGCTGTGGCATCTGCACTGAGCATTCCTTCGTGCCAGAGGGGACGCAATGTGGTTGCCCGGCAGAAGAAGATGGAAGAATTTGCTCCAGGGAAGCCAGAAGGATGTTCCTGAGTCAGGATCTGGATTGGCGAACTGCAATGCCACAGAGTGGTTGTGATTTTACCGTATTAAACGTTTGCATTTTGCACATTAAAGTTTGCATTTTGCATATTCAAAGTTTGCATTTTGCATATTCAAAGTTTGCATTTTGCATATTCAAAGTTTGCATTTTGCTTATTCAAAGTTTGCATTCTGCATATTAAAAGTTGGCATTTTGCATATTAAAAGTTGGCATTTGCAGATTAACAGTTAAAGATGACATGCAAACAGTTGATTAAGAAGAGACGCCCTTCTGCTCCTAGACAGGGGGCTGTGGAAGGAAGAATTTTGAAATGTGAATGGTGCATATTAGCTTGTTATCTGAGCGCACCACTGGAGATGGAAGGCAGCCCTGACAGAACCAAGTTAGACACAGGCATCCTCTGCAAAGCATCATTTGATTGAGCTGGGAAGAAGATGGAATGGGAGCCTGGGCATGACATTTAAATCCCACACCGCCACTCTGGATTCTAATGCTTCCCTCCCCAGTGGCCAAGCCAGATCATTCAAGACACAAGCCTTCGTCTCTGCTTTCTAGCTCGTTATTCCCTCTAGCTGTGAATGACTCATTTCTAATATGCTTGTTTCTTGCACCCACAGTCCCTCTGCTCATCAGATTCTGTACCAAGAAAGAAGACAGCGAAAACCAGAGAAAGAAGGGAAAACTGACAGCCCCTTGAAAGAAGGGACCTCGGGACAGGCTGGCACAGAGGGTGACCGACCAAATGCAGGGCATTCCACCCGCCACGTATTTCAGTGCTCCAGCTCCATTTTCGGTTCCAGGTGCACATTTCTGAGCTCCTGGTGTGACATACTTGGCTTGGTATCCCGCAATCTGCACGGGCTTGCAAGAAGAGTGTGAAACACAAGCAAGGTGGCCACGGAGCAGGAAAAGTTAAGAGCATGTGATATGCGCCTGAAATTAAAACAAGGGTGGACCACGAGTGAAGCGATCCTGCCGCCTGCTGTCAGAATGCCGTTGTTGTTGTTGTTGTTGTTGTTGTTAGTCGCGAAGTCGTGTCCGACCCATCGCGACCCCGTGGGCAACATTCCTCCAGGCCTTCCTGTCCTCCACCATCCCCGGAGTCCACCCAAGCTCACGCCAACTGCTTCAGTGACTCCATCCAGCCACCTCATCCTCTGCCATCCCCTTCTCCTTTTGCCCTTAACTCTTAGCAAAGCTGACCCTGTTCCCCTCGTCATTCGGTTGGTTTCGCTCCCCTGCCGCTTATTCCTGGCATCTGTTCTTATTAGGATCTACTGGACATTACAGGGTGAAGAAACCACATGTGCGCTCATTCAGGAGGCAGCCTCATGCTTCCTTTAAAGCATTTCCTCTGAATTGGAAACGTAGAAACAGACCGAGTCAGAAGGGGTCTCCTGGACCATCTAGTCTGACCCCCGGCTCCAGCTGGTTCTGCTCACGACATGCCTACCATGTGCATGTCCAGCCTATCCTTGAACACCCACACCGATGGGGCCTCAATGACCTCCCGTGGAAGCCCGTTCCACACCCTCAGGGTCCTAACCGTCAGGAAGTGCTTCCTGGCATCCAAATGGAACCTGGGCTCCCTGAGCTTTGCTCCGTTGGAGCGGTTCTGCCTTCCTCTGCAGGGGAGAACAGGTCTCTACCCACCTCTGTGTGACATTCCCTCACGTACGTGAATGTTACCAACACATCCCCTCAGAGTCTCCTCCTCTCCAGGCTGAAGAGGCCCAGTTCCCTCAGTCTCGCCTCATACGGCATCCCCTGCAATCCGGCCACCAACCTTGTGGCCCTTCGCTGCACTGACTCCAACCTGGCTATATCCTTCCTGTAATGAGGGGCCCAGAACTGAACATAATATTGAGTGCACCTGAGTCGTGTAGAGTGGCAGTAATACCTCTCTCGATCTAGAAGCCACACTTCTGGCTATGCAACCAAGGTTGGCGTTCGCCCTCTTCCCCACCGCATCACATGGCTGACTCATGTTCAGCCTGCAGTCAACCAGCAGCCGGAGGTCCCTTTTGCAAGTGCTGCTCTCCAGCCACTTGTCCCCTAACCTGTATTAAAACCACTTCCTCATGTTATGAGGTATCAGACTATCTAATATTCAACACTAGGGAAATTGGAACAACCTAGGGATTCTAAAATGGATTTTGTCACATCACTGGAATCTGCGTGAAAAGAAACTGTTCTAATTTGGCAAAGCAAGAGACTGGATGAGATAATAGGTCTATTCCACTGCTAACTGGGATGATTTTATATTTCCTGATGTAAGTCCAAGTGCTTATTTGTACTCTGGGTCAAGATGCAGTAGCTCTTGGGTCTCCGGGTTCTGCCTCCTACTTGTTATTGGGTTGCCATATCAACTTACAAAACACAACACAGAGGATTGCAGAATGGCTTGTTACGTGCATCTTAACTCACTCTGCAGGTGGTGGTGAGGAGGCAAACAATGAGGGCAGCCCCAAAGAGCATCCAGGCAAACTGACTTTGCTGCCAACATTCACCCGAGTGGCACGAGAAGGGTATGAAAGAGCCAGCGTGGTGGAGACAGTGTTGGACTGGGGCTGAGGAGACTTGGGTCCTGGTCCCTGCTCAGCCAGCGAGCCCACTGGGTGACTTTGGGCCAGGCATGTGCTCTCAGCCTAACCTACCTCGCAGGGCCGTTGTTGTGAGGATAAAATGGACCTATGCCAGCCACCTTGGGTTCATCACAGCAGAAAACAGCACGGTATAAATGCAATGGAATAATAATGTAATGCAAGCAAGATCACATTCCCAGGAGACAGGTGGGTAGATGCAGAAAGTGTTGGGGGAATTGCATGCTATTGGCTCCCTCTAATATACTGTACATTAAAAAGTGGGGAAAGACAGAAATCACTTGGCCATCTTTTTCTGAGTACCCCAGTGCTTCACTAAGTTCTTAGGTCAGTTGAAACCCAACCATCTCCAAATAATAACAATACATAAGGTTTAGGAAGTGACAAAAGGAAGCTTTGGGTGGGGAGCGGCCTTTAAGTCAGACCAAAGATGATCGCATCATCTCTGGTGCTCTAATTGATAAACACAAGTTATTCCACAGGATTTGCAATTCAGTGAAATCATCTCTCCACAGAAAATTAAAGGCAGCTTCCCTGAACTTGCAGGCTTCACTACATAACTGCATTGCATTTATTCAGTACCCTTAGCCTCTAGTATAAAGATGATACTCGCATTATGTGGCAGTAAAATATATATTTGCTGCAAGTACATGTAGGTACTTTGGCTTTCTGGTCTACCAGTTCGATGTAGATTAGAGAAATACCCTCAAATTCTTCTGTACCCATGGGAGAGGTAGGACAAATGCCTCTTTCATGGGGTGAAGGATTTTTGTGAAAATTTGTTTCTTTTTTTAGATTCATAAAAAAGCCTTTAAAAAACTTTAAAGTGGCTTACATCATTCTCATCCTGCTCTCAATCTTAACCCCACAACAACAGCCTTGTGAGGTAGGCTGGCTGAGAGTCTGTGATCAGCCCATCCAGTTGGCTCCATGGCTGAGTGGGGCCTAGAACCCAGATCGCTGGGGCCCCTGTCCTAACCACTCCACCACACTGGCTCTTCAATGCACTTAAACTGTGCAACACAGAGCAGTCCGGCACCTGTAGCTCTTTTGTACGAGTGAGGGCGCAGCTCGTCCATTTCTTCTCCCAGCAACGAAGACGAATGTGGGAAACGGCTCTTGCGTGTGCACACACAAATGGAGGGGAGTAGATGTGTGGGTGGGTGGAACAACGGGTTTAAAAGCGATGCAAGCGGGGAAGAAAATGGACAGAAATCAGAGGACTCCTTTCATCACAATGGACCCAGGGGGTCCCCGGAATAACTGGACTGCCCCAGAGGGAACAAAGGAAGCTTTTCTGCATGCAGCCAGGAATACCTTCCAAAACTCAATGACATGAGACGTGGGGAGAGGGATGGGGTTAACAAATTAGGCAACTTCTTAGATGGGCTAAAAGAATTTGGCAAATTTATGGGGTGCTAAGCATATCTGTTAGATTAATATTCTGTTAGAAGTACCATTTGGAATACTAGTCGCTATGAAGGAAACAGCTCTCAGCTTCAGGTAGTACTTCTAGACTTCACGGGATTTCTGGTGGAAGATGATGTTTGGCCAGATAGACATGGGGCAAGCATTGTGTGGACCTCCAGATGTTTGGGCCTGGACTCCAGATGTTTGGGCCTACAACTCCCACCAGCCTCAGCCAGCAGTCACTGTTTCTGTGAGATGCAAGACACAAGCTGCCCACCCATGGCATGGACTATACGCTGGATCAGATGAGACACTTAAATTCTTGAGAATAGGAGATACGCATTCTCACACATATACATGCATGCCAAGTATATTACAAAAGCACCTCTCTATGTACTTATACAATTCATTTGCTGGATCCAGATTTCATTTTCATTTGAGAAAAAATGTTCATGCAGACTCTCAAACAAACCCCCGTGATGCTTCCTTCCCTTGAAATCCCAACAGTGCTGTCTCCTAAGAGGGATCCTCTCCCTCCCAGCAGAATTGAACTCAAGCGATGGCCAACACATTGTGAATTATCTTTCTCAGATTGTAGCACTTCTCACAGCTCTACTTACCAGCCCTCCACACGTTGAAAGTGCTACGGATGAGTTTTTGTGCAATCTCAGGACACCTTGGTAAAAGCAAAAGTCTTCTGCAGGGTACGTGTGCACAGACTTGGTTTGCCCCTTGCCCAGTGTTTGTATTGTAAATCCAGGGGCCACCAGGAAATCAGAAGTCTTTAGGTCAAGCTGGAAGTCATGGCCAAATCCACGGAAACGGAGGTGCAACGCATCGGTGGCCCCCTCTGCCGTGGACCTCTTCAGCCTCTCGTGGTGTGCGACCGCGTGACTGATGTAATCCCCCTTTTGGTCTACTTCGTAGGCCGTCACGATATCGTACTCTGTAAAGGAGCCAAGGTACAGAATCAGAATGCAGAACAGCACAGGTGTCCCTGCAGGTGCAAACACGAGTCTGAACATGCATGCAGACGTGCTACAACTGCTTCTCCACGGAACTGGAGCTTCTCCACATCGTTTTTAAATTGCGAAATGGCAGCTTAGGCCAATTGCATGGAGAACAACAACATGCACAATGAGCTACGCATCGTTTTACACAATTCTAATATCTTTCTTGCTAAAGGGCTGTAGTTCAGGGGTCCAAGATACAGTCTCCTCTGCGTATGCCTGGAGAAACTTTGGAGAGCTGCATCCAAAGGTGGACAATGGCAGCTTTTTTTTATGGGGGTGGCTTCAGACCGAGCAGAAGACTTGAGCTGCTTTTCACTCCTGAGGTTTCCCTGCTTGCAGTCAGTCTCCTCAAATTGCTTTTCCATCCGGAGAGAAAAGCTCCAGGGCACCTGTATTTTCCCCTCCTGGTGGGGAGAAAACAGTTGGCGTGACCTGCAGCAGGTGCGGAAGGGGTGAAACAGCCTTCCTCCGGCCCATTCTCTGCTCAAGCTACTCTCAGCCATGCCAGGTTCAGAGGGGCTGGGGAAATCACAGGGTCCAGCTTTCCCCAGGTTGGTTGCCTTGCACCAGCGCATCCACTAGCAGGCATGCGAAGGGCTGAACAAATGGACCTTCTGCTTATTACTGCAGGGTAGGGCTTGTGCTACCTGTAGCTTAATTGACTACCTGTGACATGATCTCTCACTTTTAAAGATTGTTTTGTTTTTAAGAATTAGGCTGGGAAAAACATGGAAAAATCAAATGTGTGAATCAGGGTACCATGTACACCATTTAAAACTGTTAGCACATGTAATTTTTAACAGGTTACTTTTACTTTATTCACCCCTACATTTCCTTTCACTCTGAGAAAGATTCCGGTGTATGGCATACACAGACCTTTCAACGGCTGTGAATGGTGCATGTATTTTAAATTACAGCCTTTCTTAGAAAATCTGCTGAAGCAATGATGAGATTAGGATCAAGGTGAAACCTTTAGATATCTTGCTGTGCAAAGTGGCAGTTGTGTGCACCATGGACAACAGGTATCAGGTATACATAGTTTGCATTGGGATATTTGTGTCCAGATAAAGCAGCATTGTCAGACACAGCCAGAAGTCATGGCTGCGTATAGTAGCTTATCCAAGCCAGAGTGAGAAGAAAGAATTAAGACTAAAAGATTAGATCGGGTTTTAATTGTATTGTATTATATTTATTTATTTCTGTGAGCCATCCCAAGGCTGTATAGCAAGGGGATGGCATACAAAAACTTTAAATAAACAAACAAACAAATAAATAAATGCCCAGTGGTTGGGCCGATGCCTGGACTCTTCCTCGAGTGAGCTCTGCTGCCCTGTTCTTTCAGCTAGGCGTGTCCCTGTCCTGCACATCTTTTCAGCAGTCCCTCGGAAAGCAAAGCCTCAGTTGAATTTGGCAACTCGGGGCCAACATCAAAAGATGACCTGACTGTAAGACACGATGTTTTGCTTTGTTTCTCTTGTGCAAGTTCTACAGAAAACCCAAAACAGCCTTAAAAGTCCCCTTATCACCCCCACTAGGGGCAGGCGTCCTGGTCAGGAGTTCTGTGTCTACTGCCACTGAGAAGAAAAGGCACAGCTGCTAGAAATGGATTTGAAATAATGTTTGTTTTGGTCCTTGGTCCCAGCAGAAGTATTAGAAGAAGACAAGAAGGGTGGTCATGGGTGGTGATGTCCTACTGGGGGAAGAGGAGTGGCTCGGGGCTGTTGGCTGGAGAAGTTGACTTCTTGTGGATGGACTGGAGATGAGGAATATTGGCAGTGGTGCAATCACACGTTCCCTGAGAACAAATGAAGCTGCCAACATCAGTCATGGACCTGTTGTGCTGGCCTGTGAAAATCTAGGAAGGGAGCTTATGACTCTGGAGGATTAGGTGGGGTCCTCACCCACCCTTCTAATCCATGGAAGACTTAAAATTTTATTTATTCATTTAAAACTTTTTTAGCCTGTCCTATTACCAAAGTCCTGGGATGGTTTAACAATACAAAATGTAAAGAATAAAACACAGCAACTAGCAATAAAACCCCAGTTATAACAGTCAGGTCTTAAAGCAGGTCTTGAGAAAATTAAAAGGTTTTGGACTGGTGCCAAAAAGAATAAAGTGACGGCAGCAGGCAGACCTTTCTGGGGAGCGAATTTCACAATTGGGGCACCACCACAGACAAGACCCTTCTCTGGGTAGTCACCCTCCTAATCTCCTTCAGGGAGGTCTCCCAAAGAAGGGCATCTGCCCCAGTTCTTAAAGTGTGGACAGGCACGTTTGGAAGGAGATGCTCCTTCAGGTAACCAGGAAGATAACTAGAAAGAGAAAGATTGTGGCAAATGAACAACTGCCTAAGGAGCTGGTACCATCAGCACAACTATGGATGCTGAGACCATGATTCACCTGTGAAGGACGGTGGGCTGTTGGCAGGAGATGGGCTCCTTCTTGCAAAGACTAGGAAGAACATGCTTGCTCAAAGGACTGTGAGTTTAATCAGGTGGGCTTTAAATTGAGCCATCCTCTGTGGAGGAGAGATTGTGCTCATTCTATTGCGCTCTTGTATTCTCTTACCCGCAGGTTCTTTTCACAAGAATTTTGTCCTCCAGGACCTCTCTGGTGTTTTCCAGTCATTTTAGTGGGTTTCCCTTTTAGAGCGATTGAAGTCTGGTATTAAATGTTAAACTGCAAAATGCTGCAGCAAAAGCCCCAGAGGAAGTTGCAAATCTGCTCTATGGCAGCCATACCACAGTGCCACCTTGAGGCTGGCGACAGAAAATCCAAGAAACAGGACTCCCTGGGAAAAACTCCAAGGTGAAGGGCATTAGCAGGAGATTCCCATGAGTGGAGGAAGAGGCAAGTCACTACAGAAAGGTGCCTGGAATTGCAGAGATCAGGAGGGCTAAGGTACAGGATGAAGCGAGGTTGATGGGGGATGACAGAAGAACAGCACCACCCACCAGCTAAGTCCAGAATAAAAGGGGGACAAAAATAGCAGTAGAGCAGCTGAGGAAAGAGAAGGTGGAGAGGCTCAGATCCTATTTTGGCTCAGTCTTCTTCCCAAAGAGCATCTGTGCCCCATCTGGCCAGTGTGGTGTAGTGGTTAAGACTGTGGGACTGGGACTCAGGAGGTCCGGGTTCCGGTCGTTGCTCAGCCCTGGAGCTCATTGGGCGAGTCACAGACTCTCAGCCCAACCTACCTCGCAGGGTTGCTGCTGTGAGGATAAGATGGAGAGGAAGATAAGACTGACAAGAGAATTACATAAGCTGTCTTGAGTTCCTTGAAAGGAAAAAAAAAACCTGGGATATAAATATAGATAAAATGGATATGTGACCAGTAGCTAGAAGTCTTGGAATGCAGCTTGAGGCTGCCAGGGAATATCTAAGCACCTTAAATGAGTTCAAAGGCCCATGCCAAGCAAATTGTATCTTAGCATGCTGAAGAAGCTGATGGATGGGCTCCTGGAATGTCTGTCTAATATCCTGATGAGCCTTTGGAGAACCGGTGAAGTTCTGGATGGCTGGGAGAGGGCAGATGTTGTTCCTATTTTCGGAAAGGAAGACTGGAGAATTCTAGACTGGTCTGACACCAGTTAGCTGGGAAAGTTCTAAAGCAGGTTATAAAGTGTTTGATTTGTGGGCATCTTGTGTGGTGCTCATTGGAAGTCCACATGGCTGTGCCAAGAACAAGCCCTGCCAGACGATTCTAATTTCATGTTCCAGTTGAGCAATGGCTGAGTGCCCATCAGTGGTTTCTCGTCAAAGTGGGGGCTTAAGCCCTGCATTCTTCCACATTTTTATGGATCACTTGCAGGAAGAAGTGGGGGAAAAGCTAATCACATCTGCAAATGACACAAGACTGAGCAAGACAGTTAATAGCACAGAAGACAAGAACAGGATCCAATATGATCAATGAGCAAACCAGGCAGAAAGGAACAGGTGAAATTTAAAAATTCTAGTGGAAAATTCTTCATTTAGGCAAGGGAAATCAAATGCAAAGGGATAAGACTCGGGGGACCTGGCTTGGCAATAGGACATGTGAAAAGGATCTTCAGGTTGGACTTGATCACAAGCTGAATATGAGTCACTGCTGTCATGAGGTTGCAAAAATGGCAAATGCAATTTTCGGGTGCCTAGAGGGGAGCATGGGCTCAAGCCCATGGATGGGAAGTGCTCCCCTCTACAGTGCCTTGGTGCTCCCTTCTGCACACCACATTTTCAGAAGGATTCGGATGAGCGAGAATGCATTTGGAGAAGGCAGCAAGCTGGTCACGAGACCAGACGCTCCACCCTGCGAGGAAAGATGGAAGGACCTGGGCCTGCTCAGCCTGGAAAGGAGGAGAAACAGCAGCAAGTCCTGGTGGGCAAAGGCTGCTCAAGGGCCTCCCAATCAACGTCCAGACAACAAGTAGCAAGAAATTTCCCATGTTCATGCAGACCTCTGGGAAGGAAGGTTTACACTTAGCACCCCCTAGTGTTCTCCTGAATCTCCACTCCCATGACTTCCGTTCAGACAACCTTGCCAACGCATCCCCCAAGGGTGCTTTTTACTCCTAAGAGTGGGCTGACAAAAGACAAATAGAGCCCTCCTGATCTTGTGGATGCCAGCTCCCATCAGCCCCAGCTCCCATGGCCAATGGTCCAGAAAGTGGGGAATGGAGCCCAAAGCTTCCAGAGAGCACCAGGTTCAGAAGGCTGGGCTGGCACAGCATTTTTCTGGTGAGAAATCCGCATAGCACAGAGGACCAGCTGTGTCTTCTATCCTTCCCACGGCATCCCACTCGCTTTATTCCCAGGCTGGGCCGAAAGCGAAGGATTGTCTTCTGTTCCTCTTCTCCATCCTCCTTCTTCTGCCTGGCTCACTCACCTGGCTGAGACTCCTAGTCACCTGTGGCGATCGATCCGAAACAAGGATGCTCCCATGTTTTCCTTTTAAGACACAAGGACTGAACGGCATCGTTCTGCGAGGACACGGTGCTTTGGAATGTTTGATGCACCTAACAAAAAGCCAGCCTTCCTCGTCTCCTGATTATGGGGAAAGGTGTGGCAGACAGAGACAAAAACCATGCCTCCGCTTGGAGGTCCACCTTCCGCAGGGCAGAGGCTATGCAATGCACAGCAAGGGACGCGTTGGCTCCGATCTGTGCTTGGTTCCCACCACTACATAGGGAGGTCTCACCGAGGATGGCAGTTATTCATTAGCTTGAATGTGTCTGAGTGTTATTTCCTCATCCATGACGTTATTATTGCTAGGGCTTATGTTACAGAGGAACAGCCCCAGATTGGAAGAAAGCCAGTAGCAAATACATCAGTTTAATTTAAGAAAGTCACACTCAGATAGTTTCTATATTATGTCTCTCTGCGTAGGAATCCCTTCAGACGGGTCATAACCAACACATCAACTGTGATACACATTGCACAATTCATACTATGCAGATAAATTCTGCAGAGACCCCGGAGATAAATTCAAGAATTTGACCTTTTAATGAATAAAAACTGAACATGGTATTTTGGGAAACTGGCAAGTTTTTGCAGCCCAGTCCGAAGCATAAGTATTTGGATTGAGTGGAATACACTTCCTAGCACAGTGGCTTATAAGGAAGATTCAGAAGGAGGATCCCTCACGTGCAGAAATTTTGATCATGTTATTTGAATTCCCACACTACTGATGATGTTGAAATGACAACAAGCCCCATCACACTCCGAGGAGCTAAATTTCAGGCATTGGGTGGCAGGGCTGAAACACAAGAGACACTCCTTGATTCAAATAAAATACAGAATCAAGCAACACGAACACTGAGAAGAGAAGTGTTCTGAGTTTGCATGCATGTCGGATCAGCATGCAAATGTGAGCAAGTCAACCTTTGGAAGCCCCCTTAGATCCCACCTGGCTCTGCATTGGCCACTTGGCTACTCACATGAAATCCCATCAACAGGGCAGAGCATCAGCTGCTATCCAGAACTTCCATACAACAGATCACATTGTGACTGCAGTCTATGCACATACCCCTTCCCTAGAAGTGAGATATCTCAGCACATACATAGCCCACACCTTATAGGAAATAGCTGGCAGTCATGTGGAATGAAAGATGAGGCCAAACGGCTGTTTCCATGAGGCATCCCTCACCTTGCATGTTACCAGCTCTGTTTTTTCACTGACTGCATCAGGGCGAACGCAACTGAGAAGCAGGGGAAGGAGCGGACTTACCGCTGTTGTCCGTGAAGTCCAGCAGCTCGGAGTGCAAAGTGGGAAGCGGGCTCGCCACCGCTGCTTGACCGGTGCACGCTGCAGGGGCACCCTAAGGGGAGGCGGGGGGGGGGGAGGAATAGATGCCAGGATTTAAAACAATGCAACGCGAAACACGAGCGGCGGCTCCCGCTTGGGGAGCAAAAGTTGCGCTCGTTGCGCCTTTGCAAAGCATGCCCTTCATCAAGGGGAAGGAAGGGACTTCCAACAGATTCAAGCGCGACGCAGGCGCTCCGGGAGCGCGTACCTGAAGCTGCACCGCCAAGGCAAGGCAAAGCCAGAGCCGCAGCCGGCCGTGCGGATGCATCCTCCGCGCGCGAAGACCCCCCGGCGAGGGGACCGGCTCCGGGCTCGGGCAGGCAAGAGGCACCCGCTGGCGGGGCGGCGCGGACCCGCATGCCCCGGGGGGCTGTGCCGAGGCCGCCCGGAGCGGAGTCACGCCACGAATGCGCGGCGCGCGCCCGCCCGCCTCTGCCGCGCTGCTCCTGCGCCGCCGCCTGGAGGAGGACGCGCAGGGGCTGAAGCGCCCCCGCCGAGCGCCGCGGCGGCGG